TGATGTCCAGTGCATTCTCAGACAATTTTAAACAAATTTTTCTTTCAACCTCACACTCCATTGTGGAAACACCTAGAGCCACCGGCACACTATTGCTTCAGCATACAAATTATGTTTATTCCACGTAATTGCGAACACAGAAGTATAAAGAGTAACAAATTACGGGTAGGGAGGAGGTTCGGGACTTTCGTCCAAGTTCCGTAATTACTTTGTGGTCATGTAACTTCAGTAGTTCTTTAATCCTGACCACGATATGTTTCTGAACCTAACCAATTGGTTTTGTTGTCTAAACCTAACAAAGTTGTTTCCTGTGACGCCGTAAGTTTATTTTGAAAAGACTGTGCATTCGTGTTACACCCATTAAAGGAATACTTTTGGAATGCTCCAAAACGACTTGAAGAAAACCTTGTTTTTCTCACATGTCTCCACAGGGAACAGAACATCTAAAAACAGAGAAAAGTCTTGATGGATTTGTAAATGGGGGCCGCAAAATTATATGAAAATGTTTGTTCATAAAACTCTCACACAACTCGTACAGTATGATCCAAGTCTCATTTATCCAGTTGTATGCTCACTGCTTCACAAACACATGCCTCTTCACTGAAACAACAGGCTCCTTGTCCACGCCAGTAGTCAACACATTCTCACTCCCAGCTCTGCTAATACCGCCGCCTGGTCAGTGGTCCTACGCTTCAATCTAAAATTCAATCTACGTATCTGTTAGTGTCAGTTTTGGAGTCATATCATATTTCACGCATAAATCCTCTTATCAAAATAAACTTACAACATAGATTTATTTCGTTTTTAGGTTTACTTGCGCAACAAAACCAGGTGTTTGGGTTTCGGCAACAAACCCCTTGGTTTGGTTTAGAAAAGGATTGTGGTTTGGGTTAAAATTAGTTTGTTTGCTTTGTAAAATAACTTAGCTTATTACACAACTGGTATCCGGAAGTACATAGCAAAACTACTGAACAATAACTTTGACTTGGTTTTACCCAGGACACGAACATTGGTCCCCTGGGGGAAAGTCCTGTTTGTGTGACTCATCCATCCATCCTCCCCTCCCATCCGCCCTACTCTCACTTACCGCTGTTTAAACTACCTCAGCTGCTCTGACCGCCTAATACACACGCGGACGGGTTTACATTAAATTGGTTTCTTGGTGCATCGGTATCAGACGCCGAGGGGCACTGACCTAAGCTATGGTTCTTGAAGCATTGATTGGGAGTGACACTGGGTCAGAGTAGTGCGCCCCAACAAACTTTTAAACAGTCAAGTTTTAGTAAAGATGTTTTTGTGAAGTAGTGATCATACAAATGAATAAATGAGACTTGGATTATATTGCATGAGTTGTGTGAGTTTGTAAACAGACGTTTTCGTATAATTTCGTTGTTGTTAAATGCGCCCCCCCCGATATTTAATTCTTTGTTCACCATTCAGCATTAACGGGAGGCTTGATTGGTCAGTGGGCTAGCTTGACTGTTGTGAAACTAGCTAGCAGAACTTTGTAGAACTAAGAGTTGAAGTTTAAAGATATGTAAGACGTTTTTACGTGACATTACATTTTTAGCGTTTTGGCATGTTTGGCGGTGACAATCTCTGCTGCCTCTGCCGAGCGGACATTTTCAGCCCTCAAACGTTTTAAAACTAGTGCTGGGCAGGTTAACGCGTTATTATCACGTTAACGCATTAATTAATTCATGCCGACAATTATTTTATCGCCGTTAACGCATTTTAAAAATTTTTATTATTAAGCGGACGTTTCCCACTCCTGCATAATTTGCCTAAAACGCCTATCAACCGCGTACCCAAAGTAAACTGACAGCTCTTATTGAACCATTGGGAGTACATGTATGGTTTTAGTCTCTATTGAACGGCAACACTCTGAAGTTTCTTCACAAACAGTCAGAATCACCGTAAGTGCTACTAGCATTGAGCTATGGCGTTTTCAGCACAGTGAAAGAGAAGCATTTTACTTCCGCCTAGATTTGTTTTGACCACCAGACGGCAGCAGCTATCTATGGCTGGGATTTACAGGCTTGAAAAGACTCTCATTCCACAGTTAACAGTCATGACGCCTAGCGTAAGTTAAAATTTGATAACAATACGACAGAAAATTGATATTCTACACGTGGTTTACAGAGAGCGCTGCAGCATAAAAACGCATTTGGAGGATCGCGACACCACGTCAAAATGCATATATTATGATAAACTACGTGTTCGAACTATAGTTTATTTATGTTGATGTATGGTTAACTATATCATATTCAACCATTATCAACTTTCACAGATTCTTTAAAACTCTCATGAACCAGACTTTAGTCTTCACACTCTGTCCCAAGAACTTGACTCATGGTTTCCAGTTCAGGTTAGAAAACTTTCCCAGCATTCAATCTGATAAATCTGCATATCCTTGGCTTCGTAATTTCATTGGCTATGTGGAGCCTGAGTTTGAACTGGATCTGTTGCGATTGGCTCGAGCTATACCCAAAGAAGTGAGGCGGGCATTGTCTTTCAAAGCGGACTCTCGTTGGCTGTTCCAGACTGTGGCCGGGCTATAGAAGCTCCTATTGGGTCAAATGAGGTGTCAATCTAACAGACGGAATGCAGGCTCCATTTTGTGATGAAAATCTCCGCTCTGTTGACACCGAACGTGAAGTTATGCCCGAAATATGATCGCGAGTTATCATATCTGCTGGCTAATTTGAAATGATGCAACAGCCCCCCATGGGTCTTTATGGACGTACTAATGTGTTTTGGACTAAATCTTTTACTGGATTCGATCGAGTGGACCCTTAGCCACCTAGCAAGACCGTTTTTGCTGGACTAGCATGCATGAGGGGGACGTTATGGATCATAATCGGTGAGTCACGGCGATATTTTATATATTTTATTTTATTTTTGGAGTGCTTGTTTGACAGAGACGTTAACTGTACCTGCTGTTGTTATTGTATCTTGAAATGGTTTGCAGAAATCGAATTACAAGAACCGTAGCTTTCTAATGAGATATCACATTAATACTCATGTTACAGGGCAGTTGTGTGCATAACACAAATATGCAGTTATCACTCTGACGGCCCGCCCGTGTGACACTGACATCAAACCTCAGTAAAATCAGGTCTGCAATAGATTTAACTTTTGACATTCATGTGATTTCTACAGGACACAGCAGCTGGTTTAGACTAAACCACAGGAGCAGTTTAAGACACCATGCGCTTTTGTTCGAGACAATACAGGTTGAAACTCGTCCTAAAACATGAACTATAAATAAACTAATGACAGAGCAGCAGTCATGTAATCTGAGATGATGCCTTTCTGAAATGATTTGTGTTTGTTTTTAACTTGTTTTCTAAAATGTTGCATCTTGTACAGAAAAAGAATAGAATCGATCGCTCACATCTATACGTGAGTATGTTTCAAACATATTTTTAGAACAAAACCAAAATCCTCAGAAATGTATAATTAATTATCAACACTTTAAACATTTCAGCACATATCTGGACGTAAGTATTTATGATTGGTATGACAGTGAAATGAAGGCCAGCGAGTGACTAAGATGTGGGTTAATGTGAGGTACTGTACATCAACATGACATCAGGAGTCATTTATTGCTGGCAACAACAATCTCTCTCATGGCAACATCAGATCCAGGCGACCAAAACGCAAACAAAGCTTTGTCAAAGAGCAGCAGCACATTCTGGTCAGTCCATCCATGTCTTCAACTCGAGTCACTTGGTAACGTTAATGAGGTTAGCTTAATGAGCACAGCTGAACACACAGCACATGCCTTAAGGGTCAGCAGTGATATTTCCATCCAACTATATGGGCTGTATACTGTACTTCAGATTAGAACACAAATGAACAAGAGCCTGACATTCTTAAAGCAGGAAGTGGCCGCCCATCAAAAGCAGAACTATTTACAATGAACTTAAAATCAGAAGGAATGCAAGAAGCTAAAACATTGAGCGGATGCTTTCCTGCTGTAAAACTAAACATTTACTTTTCATGCCGGAACTTGGTTGACACCCTCCTCCAGGAAACACGTGTTGGGTTTGGAGCAAATTGTGATTGTCTCGATAAGGCTACCTGATTCTAAATCAGATCTCAAACACTGGATTTAAGGCTGTCACCTCATGATTGATTGACACAGAACTTGCCATGGTGTGCTGTGGATGTAATGCCGATATAAAATCATTGCTTTCAGCACCACCTATGAAGGTTTTGCTTTACTTGTGTAACATAACAAGAACAACAGCCCTTGGTGATGCCAATTGTAGTTCCATGGAACAGTCAACATGAACATTTTTTCATGAATCATTTATAATGTATTTTGTCCTATAGATGGCAGTAGAGGAGCGTTCATGCTATACCCAGAATCAAAAAGGTTCATCCTCTGAGGATCATGGCATGCATAGCAAATTCCATTTCTTAGAGTTTTTTGTCTACAGACTGAAGGTTGGAACTGATGTTTGCAGTAAAGGAACCTTCCTAAATCATTGAGGAATCATCCTCTGGGAACCATGTTTATTTGATGTACATGCAATCCTGGCATGAAATACAGACGTTTCTACTATTGTTAAGGATCATCAGTGGATATTTGTGGAAAATGTCATAATTGTGTTTAATGTAATAAACAATAAACCTGCCCATGATGGAGAAAGGTGTTGAGCACAACATGTAATCATTGCCAAAGCTGGAGGCCCTGCTGCCAAAAACTGAACTTATAAAACTGGTACTGGATCTTTGAGGCCGATACAGATATCAATATTTGGAACTTCAAAACATCCGTTAACAATATGTGGATGTTTATATTCTCATCTGATCTGGTCTACGTTCCGACCCTCACCTATGGTCACGAACTCTGTGTCGTGACCGGAAGGACAAGGTCGCGGCTACAAGCTAAATGAGCTTCCTCCGTAGGGTGGCCGGGCTCAGCCTTAGAGATCGGGTAAGGAGCTCGGTCATCAGGAGAGAACTTGGAGTCGAGCCGCTACTCCTTTGTGCTTGGCCTGCTGCCACCGCGACCCGACCCCGGATAAGCGGAGGGAAATGGATGGATGGATGTTTATATTTTCAACATAAGGCTAATCCCAAACTAATCTGAAAACTGATCCTGTAGACAAAAAAATAAATGATGGTGACAAGGGTACTGAGTGGGGCATTTTACAGTGTGACTAAATAAACACACTGGTGCTCCCTGTTCCACAAAGTTTGTAATGCCGTTTCTAAATGACCTAAAACCTAGTTTGGTATTTATGTACTGCAATCTCTTGTTAATAATCAGCTGACCTACACAGATAGATATATCATCAATAAGCTGATATATTCTGCCTTTGTCCTTGCTATGGCACATATTGAAATGCCCAAGAAACACTGTGAATGCATATAATCAATTTCATTTAGGGAAATATTGAATCTACGTTATTACATTTTTTATTTAAAAAATGCCAATGAAATCATGGTGTTGAATACTGACAAACTACAAAAGGCAGGAAAAGACAAAAGAAAGAAGAAATATATAAATGTGTTTTTGTTTTGTTCCCTCACCTATTATTCTGATTGGAAGTGAAAGAAAAAGTACAAAGCTTTATATATATTTTTATACCTCATTTGAACTATTTAGCTAACAGCATAATTAATCGACATAGCTATCTCTGACACCATACAAATTATAGTTAATTATACACAAAATGTATAATACAAAAACTGTTTTAGTTGGTCAGCATTTTAATTGCATTATAATCAGGTTGGCATTATCATTTTTTATTACTTCAAAATGTAGTTATTATGTTCTGCACAGCTGTCAGCTCCTAAAGGAACATCATTACCAGATTACACCATTACCAGACAGAAACATCTATTATTATGGTGACAGCCCTGCATGTTCATCATTACAATATGAGCATATGACCAGACATTCAAAGTGCACACTTTTATTAGCTTTCTGTCACTGTGTGAACATTTAGTCAAATGGCAACTGGTGTATATGCAATGCTTGTCCATGTCATTTTGTCAACACCTCATCACAAGAGGAGAGTTCAGCTCAGATCCCAAATGCCAACACATAATCTTTCCAGCCCCACAACTCAGTGCAGCATGGTCTATTACAACACAAGATAATACAATAAGTTAATAAGCAATATCCACTTCACATTATGCACAAATAGCATGCATAATATGTTTTACTTATCCAATCCAACACTACAATAATGCATAGATATAAAAATCCAATACATAGACACTGTCATACGTAGTAAAATAAAACATCTGTACAAAAATGCTGCCATATATTTTTTAGGATTTAATTTTTTCCCCCACGTATAACAGAATTGGGAAAATGTAAAAAAATAAATATCCTATGTACAATCACACAAGCCATTCCAAAGTTATCGTCACTGCAAGGAGAAAGCAAAAGGCAAAATATCACACGTTAGTTCAAACATGTCCACAGGGAAGTTAGCGTAGTGATGAGCATTAACAACACTGTCAAGCTCTGCCACTTACTTTATTCCAACATCCTGGTACAGGCAAGCCATCGTCTCCCTGAACAAAGACAAACAATGTGTCAAGTGGAAAATAATGTACGCAGCAGAGATCAACAGTATTATCATGCCTGAAGCCACAACGCACACAAAAGCAGCTTACAATTATAAACGGACATTTTGTTTGTCTTTATTAGGTAGAAAAGTGGTAATAGTCATTATTATGGCCATCCAGAGTTCTAGAATTAATAGTTCTTTTGCTGCATAATACTTTTGGTTTCAAGGTTCAAGGTGTCATTTACTGTCATTGTACAACAGGGTTGTGCAAACTAATGAAGCTTGTTACACTTCGCTTAATAAGAAAATATCCTGAGAAGAGTTTCTTCTCAAGTATTTTATGTCTTAAAACAAAATGTTAAAATCTCTTCAGCTTGTGAAGAGACATAGTTATTTCTGACGTCTAACGAATAACATTCAGATAATACATTCATTCTGAGACGAGGGAACCGCAAGTGCAAAAATGCTGACTCATTTCCTGGTTTCAGGACTCATTTCATTTTCATTGGTTACTTTTAAGGTAGTTTTACTCTTGTTTTTGTTATAAAAAGAAATGTGTTCGGTGATAGTTTTTGTTGACAAAATGAACAATGTGTATCATCCTCTACTAACAGATGAAAGTAGCAATTTGTAACAACCACATTACACATGTATCAGTGTAAATCAATTTTCTTTCAGGCCAATTTAGGATGATTATGGATCCTAATTCCAATGACAAAGAGTTATACATTTGCTACAGCTCTAGTTTGAGCTGCTGACTAGCCTCTTCAGTCATGTGTAATGTGACATTTAGAGCCATTTGTCACCACAAACTGTCTAGAGAGTAAAAACTTGATTTCACAGATCTATGTTAAGGAACATGAAGGTTATCATCAAAAGAAACCTCTCCAGTTGTTCAAATGACTTCCACACCAGAGGATCCCCAAACTCCCCAACTCCATAGAGTACCACATTTGAGTATAAATACAAAAAAACAAATGAGATCATAACCAAACACATTAGCAGTCTCTGTATTTAGATATACTATACATTGTTGGGTTTGTCAGTACATTTTGCTACTGTATGGCACCCAGCAGGGGGACGGTGCTGTTGTTCCTGTGCTACCTGAAAGTTTACAGTTTCTAAATAAATGAATGGTGCCTTCAAATGACATTTCCAGTCAATAACAGGCTGCCAGTTGTGTGCAATAGAGTCTACCAATATTTTGCTACATGATTTCATTTAGTTCAGTAATAATGCCGAGGATTATCGCTTACATTTACAAAGACATGTTGATGTGTAAAACACAGCCTTACCTGTGAAGCTGCAATTCAGATATTAAAGAGATCTATTTTCTCGATCCGTTTCTCCATTAACATATTTATTAAGATACCTTCCAATACCAAATCTAACCACCTGGCATCAATTAGCTTTGCAAAGCCAGACTACATATTGTAAACTCAGTTGTTTTGGAGATGTCCTGAGGATTGACATTCTGTGCATAACAAGATGCATGTTATCTCCGAAAGTCCCGCAACGTGAATAACAGTTAGACTAACATTTAGTTTGTTGTAGTTGTCCTGTTTATGATGCGACAACCCGTCTGCTTTACCGCTCACAATCCTCAGCAGTGCCAGTAACTCCTGATAATACCTGGATCTTGCATTTAGTATCACCTTCTGAGCAGTGTCCAAATGGAATGCTATAAAGTCATCCCCAATTCAGGCTGAAGAAAAGTGGATCAAAAGCAGGAACCATGGCAATGAGTTGTCTTACTATACTTGCGGGCTGGCTTTGTTCAGCTAAAAGTCTACACTAGAAATAAAAACTAAACAAATTATGTGCTGCAAAGATGATAATTCACATGCTAATACCAGGACTCTGACTTGCTCTGAACAATGAATCTAGTTCCTTACTGCTTCTCACCACCTGTGGTATTATGCTGCCTTGAAGATGGAGAAAATTGGTGCTCCATGCAAGAGACAGTGTAAGAAACAAGGTATTATGAAGAAAGGCTCTAGCATACTTTAACGACAATGTCAAGGCTTTACATTAAAGATTATATCTGGTTATGTGTTTGCTGATATTAGTCACAATCATATATCTGCATGTGAAGTTAACATAGAAAGCTGAAGTAGTTGTGATGGAAAGGTTGAGTTCAATGATTATTTGGTATCAGAAGGAAAGGCTTCTTTACTTTAGTTCTACAGGAGATCAGTTGGAAAGGTTTTGGCTTGTTATAAGGTGAGTCAACTACAAGAAGTAGATATGAATGTCGATGCAAACATGCATTTTTTTAAATTTACAGTGCAACATGTGAGTGGCCATAGTCAGGGGTTTGGTTAGGGATAGCTAGAGGCATGCTGGGGTAAGTGAAGGGAAAAAAGAGCACCATACCACAGGGCAAGGGGCATCCAGCCCGTCCAGGCCTGGCAAGCCCGGTTCACCTTTCTCCCCTTTAAAGCCTCGGAAACCCTGTTTGTGAAATCAACCATTTAAAAACCAGTTTTGCAGGTCGTGGGTAGCAGAGGAGGGTTTGTCTTCTGCTACTTGACGGCAAGAAGATCTCCACTTCTGTCCTCCGGGTGATGGGATGGTGATGGGATTCCTAAACATGCAGGAAACCTGGGACTGACAGGAACTGGGCTCACTGAGATGACTTTGAAAGGTATATGAAGCTTTCAGATCTAGAATGTGATGACAAATTGTTTTATTTATGGGAATGGGTTTGATCTAGAGTTCTGCTACCAACCAAGAGTCTCATAATAACGGGCTGGGGTCAAGTTTAAGTTTCACCTGGATGCCTTTTAGAGGACAGGGAGGAGACCCTGGGACAGATTGGTGGACATGGAAGAAGGATATCTGGTCTACCTTGCTTAACCTGCTGCCACTGACAAACAGACTTAGATACATGGCTGGAAATGGATAGATTGATGTGTCTGTTCAGGTGCCATGTGTTGCAAGTTCCAAGAGCCCAATGGGTAGAAGGAATAGAGCGTAGAGTGTAACCAATATGTTCCTTTAGTCTGGCTAATGGTGATTAGTGGATGAAAAAAGCTAAAACGTTTCAGATCTGCTACAGGTCTGGAAACTAGAAGTATCTATGACATTTATTTGGGCCGGATGTTAAAGACATGGTTTTGATACAATGGTTTTGGGCAGAATTACAGTCTCGGTTTTGGGCTTGTGCAGAACTCTAGTTAGATTCAGGGTTGCAGAGCTGCAGGATGAAGACTGAACATCGAGACAAAAGGCTTCGGTATCTATTGATACTCATCAGCAGTGGCTGCCGAATTCCTGTCGGCCTCTTTCCTGTAAAGAAGAGGTTCCTCAGGCAGAGTTGTGATCTGTGGTCTTACGCTATAACCTCTGACAGTTTTTTTTGAAAAACATTAAATTTAGGATGACATCAATTCAATCAAATATCTCCCCATACCTCTAACAGGCTGCAGTGGACACTTGGACAAAAGCCTGCCTGAGGTTGATTAGAAACACTGACAACCAGAGGCAAGAGGAAGCAGACTACTGAATACAAACCTTCAGTGAAACTGAGGACATATGGGATTGTGCCATATTCTCAACTAGTGCTACTTCCTTTTGCCTGTTGGTTACACATCGGACCACTGACATACCAACGGACAGGGGGCATCTAATCCAGGTGCTCCTTGGTCTCCCTTATCCCCTTTGGCCCCCCTGTTGCCTTTCTTGCCCCTCTCTCCCTGCAAACAACAGCGTATTAGAAAAGACAAACTTTAGTCCTCCCACATTAAGCCACACATGAAGCAAATGTTTGTTTTTTGTAAGGTTTCATCGATCAGGTATTCTTCCATTTATGTCATTTAGACAAAATGAGAAAACAAGTTGTGTGCCTTTAGCTATTTTCAAAAGACAATATGATTTTGTGATGTATATTTAGCGGAACAGGAAGGTAAGCAGAGGAAGTTAGGGAAGAGGGTTTAAAGCCCAAAGCAGTTGGTGAGCAGCTTTCACATCTTTTTGCAGCTACAGTAAAAGCAGGTTTTGGAAGACTTGCAAGTGAGAAATGAGAACGCAGAGTAAGTGTTGTTACTCTGATGATTTCTTGCTGTCATGGCAGATAATCTACTGAACAAAACATTAGATATGAAAGTGAGTAAGAGGATCATGTCCAAAAGTAAAACCTAAAGCATAATGAAGTGGTGAATGGAGCGTGTGGAGTGACTGCTGGAGGAATTCAAAGAAGTTCATTCTTGGCCATGAAACTGTTTAGTTGAGTCTTCATTACAAACAACCTTAAAATCTCGTCAATTGAGAAAAAAGTCAGAGGTTCAGGAATGCGATGGCCTACATATAAACCTTTGGAGCACAGTCAACCACAAGTCCCACTGGGCATTGAGGTGAGAGACATTCAACAGTGCTCTGAGTGGATAGATGGGTTTTCTATCAATAGTCAGTGTTGGTTTATTGATCTTGTTCGTTATTAAATCATTTTTTATAGTGATCTGTAAATGGTTTGGAAGGCACGCTGTTATCCCGCTGATAAAGATGATGCTGATTTGGTCATTTTAAAAGGCAATGACATATTTTGTCATTGAAGGGGAACGCCACCAATTTTACACATTAAAGTCTGTTTACAGGTGTTTTGGGGATAACTATTTCATATGTGAAATGCAAATCCTTTGTGTCTCCAGAAGAAGCTGCATGAAGTCACTACGAGTCAGCGTCTGTTGGGGCCAGGATTCGAAATACAGCGGAGTTACTTGGAGATCATCTCCCCTGAAAGAGACACAAGCTCCCCAGACAACCCTGAGAGATTTAGGGGGAGCTCTAAAATATTGGCAATTTTGGTGCCACTGTTTTTTTTCTGAATAAATTAATATTTTCACATATATTTAGATTCCTGAAATAAATAATAGGCTAAGAGTACAGCACATGTCAACGTGCATGTTCAGCGCTGAACAATTTCCAATAATTTGTGTCTAATAAAATCAATGGCGTGTGTTCCTGCTCTTGCCATCCGTGCATGGGCACACACTAGTATTGCTTGATGTTTGATGGTGTATTTGCATTGCAACATAATCTGCAGTGAGCATTGGGTGTTGTGTTGAGAAAATTAGTTGGAACAGTCATCATGCTATGTTTTCCATAAGACCAACATTTGAGGCTGTAGTCATGTTCACAGTTGTGATGGGATGTAGCCTCTGTTTAACAAAGCAACATAGATAATTGCCTGTACCGGTTGGGTCTGAATACTACAAATTTGAAAATGAAAAATAAATGAATCTGGAGGAGTGGAGTTAGAAAGACCTCTAGTCTGCAGCTCATATCTACTGCAGGCTAGAGGCTCCATTAGCCACTGCTAGCATAACACATTCGAATGTCTGAACAAACTGTCCGCAGTCAAGTTGCATTGTGGGTAATGTGGGAGCCAGGTTTTGACAAGGAAGAAGAATGTGTGAAATATATTTTCTTTTAACTGTCCATAATGAGTCAGACAATGTTCAAGGAGTGCAATGCTGATTCGGTGTACTGTTTACATTTACGATGCTCGATAAGACTTCCTTCCAACTGTATGCAGACTAGCGTTACTGTGCTGGATCATAGGGCCAACACCTGCTCACCAAAGAGCAAATAGGGAATACACAGTGACGTACAAGGACACTCATATTCGACTAATATTCACAATATGAAAATAGGAATTTGATGCAGGTCATGTGAACAGCATATTCCATTTGGATATTCTGAATTAGGCCTTATTCCGACGGTAGCATTTTCCGATTAAGAAATGTAGGATGCACCGATAATATTCCGGTTTCAGGAGCATTCTATGTACATGTGTACAGCGCATTCCGAATATTTGTATCAATTGGGGGTTTTACGGCAGTTTGCGACTCAATACCTCTTGTCTGCTTTACGGTCAGCTCTGTAACGAGCCATCAGTTTGCAGAGCTGGAGTAGAGATGCATGCCCAAAGGGAAAGAAGGAGAAACACAAACTACTTTTAAACATTATGAAATACTTGGATATCAACAGGTTTTTGGGGATGTGCAAATGGTCCGACCTCTTGAAGGAGGGAAAGAGGGAGGCTGTGTTTGCCTGGTGAACCACTGGTGCAAAATGTTGAACAAATCCTATTTTGAAGGCTGCATGTAAACTGGAATGTTTATTCCCATTAGCCATGTAAACTACTTAGTAGGAATATTGTTTGTTTTTATCAGAATAAGGGCAAAAAACTGAATATTTTGTACATGTGAATGTATGTCAATATGTAGAATACTATGCAGCCTGACTGCAGTGTTCTCCCACTGCTGGCATCACCTACACAACTGGAATCGATGTGAATCTATATGAATCTATATGAATCTATACAGGTTCAGGCTTAAGGCTTCCATCTCAAATGGTTTTGGCTCAAATGCAAAGACCAGTTGTGAGTGTGGCTAGAAGCCGAGGCTTACATTCAGACTTGAGATGGGCATATGCAGTCACTGTAAGGGACACAAAATGTTTCTTTATGCAGTCTTGCTGTTTTTTGATAGAGTTGAAATTATGAAGCCATCTGCTTCCTGCAGACCTTTTAGTGGTTTGCAAATCATGCCAGGGACTACAGGTATGGCAGCTGTTTTAAAGCTACTGGTTGCACACTAAAAGGTTCAGTCTGTGTGGAATCTCATCTAACTCTGAGATACTAAACTGTCTTGAAAATGACAGGCTCATAAACATGCAACCTTTTTTGGTGCGCAAGATTCAAAAACGTAGCATATTTTTTAAAAGTGATGGGAGAGCACTGCTTGCAAATTTTGGGGTACAGGTCATGGGTTGGAGGGACTACATGCTTGCAAGGAAGAGGTATTGGTAAGTAGGAGTAGGGGAAGTAAGGAGGAGGTGTAAGAGGAGGAAAATGAACCCAGGACTACATTAGAATGCAGGAGGAGGAGGAACAGGAGGCCAAGGTTTGTGAGAGGGAGAGAGGGCAACCCCAGCAATAAAAAGAGCCATGGGCCACAGAGCAAGGTGGAGGGAAGGAAAAGGGGATAGGAAGACCTGCGGAAACAAAGGAAGACAGGACAAAGAGTGAAAACACCAACACTATCCCATAGCTTTGCCTTCAGCACTTTCAACCGGACCGTTGCATTCAGGTCTGTTTAACAGAAGCGTGTTCTTCTGGTTTCTCTAGCTGGACATTGAAAACATTTGACAAGAGGCCAGTTGAATGTGCTGAGAGAGCTTATGAAATGTGCAGACTTAAACGATGGGAGTGGAAATATTAAAACGAGTCACAGGTTAATGGGAAGGAAACAGAAACATTCTCTTAGAGGAAGGGTATGTCGCATTAAAACAGATCCTGTTTTAAAGATGAATTACTGGTTTTACAAAGTCACATTGTGCAGGGCTGTTTTGATATTCACTGCCAATTAAAGGAATTGTTTAATGTCTGTGGAAATTATTCATAGTCTTTATATCTGAGATTAAGAAGATGGATATCAATCTCATACAGTACAGAGCTGGAGTCAGGACATGATTGGCTTCGATTAACTAAAAGACTGGAAGCAGGGCTGAAGAGCTACCGTGGTTCTGTCTGAAGATCAAAAGTGAACTATTTATCCATCCGGTCAGCACTTTTGGGTAGCATCTCTGACTAAAGCATGGATTGCCAGGTATGGGCAAAGATGTTGGTGTCTGTGTAGGCAATGAGCTGAAATTTGATATAAAATAAATAAAACTGAATAATTAAAAATAGAGCTGAAGCTGGTGATATTTGTCTGTGGAGTGACACCTTTCACCTCATAAGCCTCGGTTATGCTTTCTGCAAGGACGGTCGCACAGACATGAGCTGACACGGAATGGTGACGAGGAAGCATTTGGATCTTTTTACCCTCTTCGGGTTCTTGCCAGCAAACGGACATTCTCAAAACTCTCTATTCTCTCCCCTCATCTGCGTGTTGGATGTGTACGGACAGGAGAACGCTTGTGCATGAGTCAAACATAAATCACGCTTTACACAGTGATTTGATCAAGTGATGTAAAAATAGTGGTTATAGCTGTTGAATGAGAATGATATCCATCTTTCAATCTCAAGTGTAATCTGAATATGCAACATGATGTCACACAAAAGACAATACAACTGTTTGCTGTCTCCAAGGTAAACTCAACGGCATTGATGCATTCTTCTTTTATTTTTCTTTGATGAAAGAAAATCATGTCTGAACTATTGTCAACTTTATTGATGAAATTTAATTTGGGAAGTTTATTCTTACCCTCAAAACAAAGCCACTGCAAAACAAATACATTTGCCAAAGAAAGGCATGTTGACGTGAATAATTCAGGACCATTAAAAAAAAAAAATCAAAGGAAGCTATCTGACTCATCTGGCTTTCTTTTCATGCTTGATATCAAAGAGAAAATCCAGGTTTTTGATGTTCAGCTCTTTAATTATCTTCTCTTTCGTGAGAGCGTCTTTGAAGTCGTCACAGTTCTGCTCAGGTGACCTATTATGGCCCAACGAGGCAGTTGCAACAATAATGGCAGAGGTAACATAATGTTTTGGATGCAAATAGTAGTCTGTTTTATTATGACTCATGAAGAGTTCAATCCAGTTGCTGAATGTAATGAGCATGAGCATAGAAGTGACCTGGTTAAATGAAATCTAATGTGGGTCTATTGGACAGAATCATGTCCTTGGTTCTGCTATCTTTATAACTGGCAAATAATATAGGTGGCATCTTACCCGGTTCCCTTTGAGTCCTTGTGGTCCAACTAAACCCTGCAAAAAGAAATGACAAAAAAAAACATTCTCTTTGCTGTGCATGTTTGTCTCACTTTGGGAAATGTGCATATTTAGTACATTTTGGGAAATGTGCTTGTTTGCCATCTTAGAGTCATCTTCAGAAGATGACATCACTGAAGAACGTGAGTTCGGCTCCGCTGGGGTTAGCTAAGGTCTTTATGCTGAAGCTATCCAATGGACGTGATGGCCTGGTATACCCAGATGGATAAGTGGTAATTAAACCCCCTCGAATAAACAACATATCTCTGATCAGTACTACCTCCACCATGGCACTAAACACATCCTGTAGTTATCTTTGTACTGGCCACATAAATGAAAGTTATCATGAGGTTTTCATCTGGGTGAGAGGTCTTTGTAAACCACCTCTGATGGATTTGAGGCATTTGGACTGAAAACATAGGCACATGGGAGAAGTTTGCTTTATGGGTTTCATGCCAGAAAGGTTTTATTTTATCCCAAGCCATGGTATTGTCCTAAACCTAACCAAGTAGGTTTGTTTGCTAAACCTAAGGAGATTTCTGGCAGAAAGCCTTGATGTCAAACTTCCTCTTGGTTTGTTGTTGTTCCCTTTGTTACAAGCGTGCTGCTTTCAGTGAGCTAAAAGATGCTGCCTGTTGTGATGGATATTTGAAATGTAATTAAAGACTTACAGGGATGCCTTGAGGCCCACTTGGTCCTGGCAATCCTGCATCTGCCTTTTCACCCTGTAGCAAAGAGAGAAAAGTAAAATGTATATTCTCCAGAAACTATATTTATTGAAATTAAAAGCAGAACAAAACACAAAGATACTCACTCTCTCCCCCTTTGGTCCTGCTGGCCCTGACACACCTGATGGTCCTATTAGACCCTTTAAAACAGAACAGGGAAAAGAAATACCTGTCAGCAAATACAAACAGAGGAGTTCTAGAGAAGATATCATCACTAAATGCCTCAAATCAGTAAATCAACAAGCTTTCTGGTGGAAATGAATAGATCTCACAAAAGGTAATCTCAAGGATCATTAAGGTACATTTTGTAGTAATCTGGAGTGACAGAATCAGGTTCGTGCATAATGTTCTGACACCTGTGGCATTAACACACCAAGCTTGTTGACTACTGTTCAAACTGTTAAATAGGAGGGAAAATGAATCAAATGTCAACAGCTGCAGTTATCTGTCTGAGTAGCTTTCAGGAGAGGAAGACCTTGCATCTCAGGCATATCCAGAATGGGCAGTGCTGTATGGAGTACAGCGAACCAAACGTACTGTATAACATGTCAACATGCAGCATGGGCATATCTGCATGCTCCTCTTCGATAGTTCTTAGCAATAGCAACTTTGCAGCCCACTGCTGACACAGGAGCACGAGGCAAGGAAATGTTGCAGCAGCATTGAGGACTGAGGAGTCGCACTATTGTGGTGTTCGATATCAGACAAGATGGAAATTCAAAGCAGCACTATGCAACATTCCACTTTAGTTCTCGGAGATTAGGGACAGATTTTAGAACATTTTGAAAGACTGTTAGCCTCAAGTGCACTGCAAACGCAGAGTGGCCATGGTGGCTCATGAATTGTTTGGACCAATATGAAGATATTACAATTTTTTCTCATATTCACAAAATGTTTATGTTGTTATCTTGGGTAAGCGTGCTGCTGGACTTTCATAGGACAACACCAGATAAATGAGAACCGTTGTATGAGGATACATTGGCCTGTTTTGAATCCAGATCTGGTTCTTTCTGCAGTTCAGAATTTGGAATATTTTTGTATTGTTTAAGTCTATTATTCATAAGGTGTATAGCCCGACAAATATTGAGCTCTTGAGGCCAGTACCGATCTATATATTTGATGTATGTTTTCTCATGAACACAAACATTTTGATTGTTTGTGACTGATATGTTGGCATATGTTACATTTGAAAATAAATCTTGTCAGTTATCTGTGTTGGATGACATATGTACTGTTTCTAAATGACCAATGCTACTGTTACATATTGGACAATATATCTGCTGATACCAGTATTTCTGCTGTAAGATATTGGCCCATATGTTCTAATAACGTGTTTCACTTATGGGCTATGGGAAGCTCTTCTTCCTCTTAGTCTTTGGAATTAAGACTTAGAGAAAGATTCTTGCTTAGCCAACTTATATGACTGCTGAAAAGGTTGTCAATAATAACCACGGGGGCATAAGGGTGATGCATAGAGTTGCCTTGTTTGCCATGAAAGTAGATTCTTCATGCCAGTGCATCCCCAGAACCCTAACCCTGAACAGTGCTGTCCTCGCAGAGCTACTGTAGGAAGGAATAAAGACATGACAAGCATGGGAAGCAGGAAAGCAAGCAGATATGACAGACATCAAGCAAGCTGTAGCAGGGAGGTGGAGGAAGACGAAGAGGAAGAGAAGGGAGGGGGGGGACTGGAACGGGACTTGTGCCACTCACCACTGGACCCGGTCTGCCGTCTAACCCATGAGCCCCCTGTATAGCGTTGTACACAGTTAGAGAGCAGAGGTGATGGGGGAGATGGAGGAAGGTGGGGGAGGGGGGGAGGGGGGAGGTGAGTGAAGCTGTGACTCAAGTGACTTCAAAAACATTCAGATGATAACAAATAAAGGGTGAGGAAGTGGTGGAGGTGGAGGTAAAGTGAGTGAGAGTAATTGTGAGTCATTACTGGTCATGGTGTGTGGCTCATAGTAATGCTCTGTGCTCTGACCGGCATCACATTCAAAGTGTTAGTCTGTCAATCGTTTGTGACTTCTCTACCCTGTGTGTCAATCTATAGTAACAGCTCACAAACATGTATTTCTTTTTCTTTAAAGGATTCAGTAAACAACTGGTCACTGCAGTTTTAGCAAACGTTACTTAAAACAGGGAGGAGCAGTGCATTTATTTGGAACTATTTTCTGTGGTGGATTAATCCACATTTCGTGCTCTACTGAGTATCTGTGCCAGCAGGACGGGGTATGTGGGATTGAGTCAAAATAAACTAGTGTCTGACTGAGACTCTCACCAATAAACTCCGTCAATGGTAATATATTCAAGCACTTAAAACGACCTGTTAATTGACGAAGAATTTAAATTTTGACTGGCAAGGTCCACAATCTTGTGTTTTCCAGAGCTTTCATTCACCACTCATGGTCTGAAAGCTAACTACGTGCACTGATGATGGCAGTGAGATACGTTTGAAAGTGCCAGAACAAAATACCCAATTACATTAAAAAAAGGAGTGTGTGTTGTCAAATTGGTGAATGTGTTTGTTACTTTGCTTCAGCGATGAATAAAGAAGCGTGCTGCCAATACAACAATACTTCAAGTCATTTGGAATCAATTCATAACACAACAGAACTTTTCAAGGCACACACAAGCATCGATGAACAAACTGGTAATTAGTAAAATGCTAATGAAAACAGAATCACACAGTCAGAATGTTAAAGCTAAAATTGACCCTTTGCTATGTCCCGCCCCTCAAACACAGACTGGCCAATCATAGAGTAGCATCGGCCAGCTCTGACCAGGGTCCGGCTCTGCTCCATAGACTCTCATCAGGGGTTTCAGATGTTCTTCATGTTCAGGCTGGTTTAGTTGATTTGGAGCTAGTCATGGTTAAACTTTGTGTAATAGTGAATAAAGAGGAACAGGGTGGTTCCCTATGTTCCTTGTCTTTTGTCTCGATCACCAGGTGATGTGCTGATTCAGTGGAACACTGTGATCTGGAGGCTTTAGCTTCTATCTTCATCTTTTGAATCTATTTTTCTTAATCAGTTTGACATCATATCCTTCAAACACATATTCTAGACGCTTTTCTCTGCTTCTCCCTGAAATCACCTTTTCTTCTACAGGAATGAGTTCATATTTCTTCAGTGAGTGAAGTTAGTGACAGTGTGGGCTCCATGATATAGTAGCTCTGACAGCTTGATGAAGTAAAAATGTGTGTGTGAGTGTGTGTGTTGTGAAAGTATTCAGCAACACTTGTTAGTGTCTCCCCTAACAATCTATTGTGATGTGTCCTACAAATAGAGTTTCTGTATACGTGGTGTTAAAACAGTCTCACACGTATTCGCAAACAAAGTTCAGAAACTTGTCAAACACAATGCCCAAATAAACACAGAGGGATTTGTGTCTGTAAATATGTGTCTGGGCCTCTCATTTACAATTCAAATAACACAATTTGCTAATTATGAAGGTATATTTGTGTCTTTATTACGCAAACAAAAAAAAATGTTTTAAAAGCAAATTTCTCGCACTGCAATCAAAAATCAAGTTTGTAAGTGAAAATATATAAACTGAGAATAATTTATTTGTTAGTTTTGCTTATGAAACTAGAATTTTTGGTTAAAAAAATAAAATCTTTGGTTAAAAAAATAAAATCTTTGGTTAAAAACAAAACAATCTTTGGTTGAAAAAAAAGCTTTGGTTGAAAAAAAAAGCTTTGGTTTTGAAACCAAAGTTTTGGTTTTGAAACCAAAAGCTGAGTTGGGTGTAGTGGGCGGGGCATACGCTGCTGAATGTACCAGGAGTTTCTATTGGTCGGTTTGAATTGTCTCTCGGTATCTGCATCATCTAAACACAGACGGGAGGTTACGGTGACATGGAGGTAAGTTGACTGCTCTGTTTTGTCAAAATTATTTTAAATATAGCAGCACTTCACTTTGTTCTCATGTTGTTAGTGTCGTGGAGTCTCTTTTTAAGAACGACATGGAGGGCTGCTGTGTTGACATTTAGCCCCACTGTTTAGATGATGCAGATACCGAGAGACAAGTCAAACTGACCAATAGAAACTCCTGGTACATTCAGCAGCGTATGCCCCGCCCACTACACCGAACTCAGCTTTTGGTTTTGAAACCAAAGCTTTTTTTTTCAACCAAAGATTGTTTTGTTTTTAACCAAAGATTTTATTTTTTTAACCAAAAATTCTAGTTTCATAAGCAAAACTAACAAATAAATTATTCTCAGTTTATATATTTTCACTTACAAACTTGATTTTTGATTGCAGTGCGAGAAATTTGCTTTTAAAACATTTTTTTTTGTTTGCGTAATAAAGACACAAATATACCTTCATACTAATAGACATAAGCAGTCTTAGAATTCATCATATTTAATTAAAGAATCCCCATTTGCATGACTTAATATCATTACAAAGCGTCAACAACATTTAGAAATGGAATTTGTGAATCAAAAGAGATTCTTATGGATCCTTTGTGTCTCAACCAGGATTCACAAGTAAAGGGAGGACCCAGCTCTCTCCAGGAGATGGCGATAATGAAACATGTATGGATGCGTGCACATTAATGTTTAGATTGAACAGCTGTCAAATCTGGAACTTGTGTTGGCTGCAGGCTGATTCCCACTTACTGTGTGGTGTTTGATTCATGCTATAAATGATGCATCAATGTGCATGCATGTAAGCTGTTGCATGTAAGTATCCAGTTATAATATCGTTAACAGTTATATGTTTTTTGTCTCTGTGGCACCAATAAATGTTACAAGAGCGTTGGAGACAAGTGCAGTAAAACAGTCTCAAAGAGATTGTAAATTAGAGGAACATATACAGATACAGATACAAATCACTCTGCATTGATTTGTGCATTGTGTTTTACCAATTGTGTAACTTGACATTTGTTTGTGAATATTTGCCTGATATGAGACTATTTCAACACCATAGCATTTTATCTTGTTTTATTTGGTAGCGTGTCTCTTTATGACCTGTAAGTGTTGCCAAACTGGTAAATGTGTTTCTTAATTTGTTAGTTTTATTTATTTGCAGTTTTTCCTTTCATTGTCACAGCAGGGTGGGATGATGCCCGTTGAGTCACTGAAAGGCTTTTATTGTGAAACATCTGTGTAGGAAGTGTTAAGTTTCATTGAGTGGGTCTTAGCAGGTAGGAATAAAGGCAGGTCTCTGTTATAAGCCTGTTAATGCTGTTCTCATACACTGTATGTACTATACTTACAAAAAGTAATGCACTGTAACTCTTATATATCTGACAAAATCAATTTGTATGTAATCCACTTAATCGAGAACAAGTAAATATAAAGAGCGTCAAACTGTGCGTAGGGAGGAAGTTGGGGTGCATGAGTGGGTCTAGAAACACTAGACTTCCACCAGGTGAAAGCTGTTTGAGTCCTGTGTTAAACTAAGGTTCAACATTGAGTCATTTCTCACTGAAGTAACGTCACATCCAGAGTCATTTCAACCCAAAGAAAGTAATTTCTGTAGTAACGATCTTTTCCTAAACCTAACCAAGTCATTTCCTGTTCTTTCCTGAAGACTTTTCTGTTTGCTGCTGCCTTTAATTGAATCAGATTCAATTAATATATTAATCAATTTCCTGCATTTCTGCATTTTACTACTGTATTTTATTTCTTACACTGTTTTTTAATGTTTTAATGACTGTTTTTATTGTTTCAATGAATGTTCTTAATTGTTTTTAAATCTCCGTTTCTTTTGCCTTATGCTTTAATGGTTTTATGTGAAGCACTTTGAATTACCATGTTGTTGAAATGTGCTATACAAATAAACTTGCCTTGCCTTGCCTTGTTCAGACAGAGGTTTATTTTGAAAAGACATTATGCATGTAATGATTGGGAAGTGACAGGTGCTGCTGGACTTTCATAGGACAACACCAGATAAATGAGAACCGTTCTATGAGGATACATTGGCCTGTTCTGAATCCAGATCTGGTTCTTTCTGCAGTTCAGAATTTCGTTTGGCTCTGTGCTTCAGTATATTTCACTGGCTTGTGTTGATACTGTTTCCACCCCTGGTCAGCTGGTTAGTGTATACTTCTTGCCCATAATGAAAGGTTACTGTATTATTTTAACAATACAATATTGCATTCAATATTGCTCGTTTGACATAAGAAGAGGATTGACTGTGCAATGACCTATTATATATTGCTATCAAGGTGAAGGAAGAGAAGCTTTTACCTGACAGTGACTGAGTAGATACATGTGTTTGTTAATGTCAGCGTAAACCAAGAACAACACATTGAAACCCACAGTGCTAGACACCTTATAACAGTAGAGTATTAAAGAACATTGAAAACAGCCTGATCGTAATTTGAATAACATTTTGAATAAATATGTCCACACAAGCAGAACATGTTTTAGATTTGCAGTGTTATGTAAATGATTAACTTCCTTTGAAACAATCCACCCTTCCAAACAGCACTTTAACAGGATTATGATGACAGAAGCAACATCTGAGTCATGAAACATCAGTCAATAAGAAATGCTTAAACTAGGATAGAAACAATATGGATTTTTAAGGTTGATAATCCCTAAATAATCAAAATGCTCTCAGGAAACTTAACAGGATATAACACAAACAGAAGATAGAAGGCAAAGAACTTTAAGACAGGAACAGGAAGTAGAGTGTACTTACAGGGAGTCCGAGATGGCCTCTGTCGCCCTTGTCGCCCTTCTGACCCGACGCTCCCTTCTCTCCTCTAATGCCTATGCCTGGTTCTCCCTGATATACAGAGTACAATGGAAATGTATCCTTACACCGTCATTCATTGAATAACTATGATGCATGTATACAACATGTGAATGGAAGTCTATTTAATAAACGTAGGAGCTGTTAGATATTATTTTATAGTAACAATATCTCACCTTAGGCCCTGAAAATCCTTGAGATCCCTGGATGGAGCAGAAACAGTGAGATTACTGACACAATGTTACTGTATCCCAACTGTTGAAATGTACCAGTGCACTGGTATATTTGAGGCACATTAAGATAAATAGTGCAAATACAAGTTCGGCATGATTAAAACTCTACTGGGTGAGCTTCAGTTAATGAGCAACATATCCATTTGATTTCATTGTTTTTCCTTTTATTTCCCTTATTTTCTTTATTCAAACTCAATTTTATTTCTCCCTGTCAAACAGATTAAATGACTATGAAGTGTTGGAACAATATTTTTAAACATTTGTTAAAAGGTACAAATATAACTCAAGATATCAGAATTTCCTTATATGCAGACGATGTTACACTATACTTGTTTAAGACGCCTGATCATTATCTAAGATTAAATAAATAATTAAGGTATTTAGAATTTTCTTTAGGTCATTAAATAACAGGATCTTAATAACAGGATCATTAAATCTGCAGGATTCGTTGCAAAGGGAAATTATGCAAATCAACGAACACTTCCCTAACCCAAAGAGAAGATGTCTGGTGCCATTTAAAATGGCACCGTACACTCTCAAGAACTAAAAATAATAGTGATACATGTTTTTATATATATTGTAGATATAAGATTAGACCTTTTAGAACTGCGTTGGGAGGTTGCACTTGATTGGCAACCTTTCACTCTCCGATTGCAAATGTTAAGGTGTTCACTTGCAACTTCATCTTTCTTATTGGCTCATTACATTGAGGGAAGTCATGTACTGTTCAGTAGATATCTGTCAAACTTCAACCTGAGGCCAAATTAGCCAAATGAACTGGAAACCCTTTGAAAGTGTTTGGGGTGTTTAGTGCTACGTTTCAGTGGTTGAATGGCATATTTGACTCACTGCTGGGCCAACTGGTCCTGAAGGTCCTGGGGGCCCTGGAGGTCCATAGACCTAAACACAGACACATACAAACACAAGGTTTCAATTCAGAAAATGTTTCTCATAAAACCTGCTGTGCTATAATTTACCAGGAATTGTACAAATCAGACCTGCGGGTTAATGACTAACTTACCATTTCTGACCGTCCTTCTCCAGGTTCACCTTTAGGACCCTGTGAACATAGGTGGCAAAGACACAGAGGGTCACATTCCCAAGTCAGACAAACTATTAAGTGAATGAAGAATGAGACAACACAGCACTTTTTCACATAGCATTTGGGGTGAATACAAAATATATTCTACTGTTCCCCCTTTGCCAGGTCAGACACTGCATCCAGAGAGATGCAGCCTGAGGGGCACCATTGCGTACCATTGAGCCAGGTAATCCGATCGGGCTTTGGGCCCCTGTAGCCCCCTTTTCACCCGTAGGGCCATCTAAACCCTACAGAACAAGAAAGGGGAGATGGACATCACGATAACGGCAGAGTGTTTCAATTTAGGGACTGATGAGTTCATCTTCATGTTAGAATCAAAGCATAAAAGACAAAGCAGAACATTTTAACAAAGGCTTCTCACCAACCAGCACCCGGGCCAGTATGCGTCAATTGGGGTTCATTCTTATTTGAAATAAAAAAATGTTATATATTTAGCTTTCAAGCTAAGTTTGCGCTGGGGAAAATAAATGCTCAGTTTTGAATGCTGTTGGAGCCATCCATTTTTCAAAATGTTTACCTGCAACATATGGTTTATAAACAATTATTTAATGCTCTGACAAATGTTGAATACTTGGTTTTCCATACTTTGATCTGTTTTCAAAATAGATAATGTATGGTCCCATCATGCCCTTGCATGGCACCTATTTGTGTTCTACTTGTGTGGGTGCTCACGTCTCGTTGTTAGAAAGCTGTTACTTTGGGCTGGAGGGGGGAAGGGGGGTGTTGTCTTATAGATTAACAGCCCATTTCTAGACGACCAATAATGATTTCAATTTACTAAATACTGTACATGGGTACACATCTGAAGTTTGTGCTACTTTATGCTTCTACTCTACATTAGTTTAGTTACATTCAACTGTATTAAATGTAATGTGTTTTATTATATTTATTTATTCATTTTATGGAGCTTTTTTATATTGTTGCATTGGTACTTTGATTTTAATAAAGGAGTTGGTTAGTTCTTCCATCACTTACCATCCTCCTGCAGGCTCATTCACACATTCCCACAACATGTTCATACAGTTACTTAAGCACTGCACAATCCAAGTACATGGTGGGACTGTATAGGATGGGCCCTTGAAGATATTTCTTAAAATAGAAAATGATGCATTCAGCAATAACATACACAGGGATTTCTTAATTAGGAGTGTTGTGAAGGCCCTACTGCGCACTCCATCTCATTGTTGTTGAGCCAGCCCAAGACCAATATCAGCATGCTCAAACAAACAAAACAAGATGTACACACAAGAGCAAAATAAATGTCTCCCTTAATAAGTAATGTAACAAACTGTCAATCGTACAGATATATACAGGATACAGAAGAGCAGTTTTAACTAAAGGCTCTCAGAGTAACACCGGGCTACAAATAGCATAGCCTTCTATATGGGGGCACATTTGGGATCCATGCTGCAGTGAATTAAAAGCTGAACACAGTGTCAATCCTCTGGTCCCTTCCAAGCTAGTGAGTCTCTAATTAGATAATGAGAGGGCAGCTGGAAAACCCAAGGCCTTCCCTCTGGATAATGACAGATGTGAGACTGGGGCTTTGGTCAGGGAACCCCAGGCAGTGATGTGGTGTGATGTGGTGTGTGGTTAACACAGTCACTCACAGGTGATCCAGATAGACCCATGTCTCCCTTGTCCCCTTTGGGTCCAGAGAAACCCATGACACCACCCGCCCCTCTGGGACCTTCAGGACCGGCTGGGCCTACAGGACCGGGCTCTCCAGGCTTCCCCCTGGGCCCCTGAAAACACAAGAGGTCAAGGTCACCTCACTTTAGCCGATAGAAGCTATGTTAAGATTCAAAGATCATTTATTGTCATTATGCAACACAAATACATACACAACAAAATGCAGATGTAGCCCATTTCCAACACAAGAAAAACAAGACAAAAAACTAAACAAAAAACATTTTTTTGAAGTTGCATCACGAGGAACGCAAACAATTCTCTGGTCGGATAACATGGCTGACATCTTAACATTAACAATATTCAACATCAGGAAAAAAGTGAAATCTAAAATGTAAGCTTTAATCATCATCCATCACTGCAATCAATTGACTACTATCACAATGTAGATCTATGAAATAATTCAACTGCCTGGCTGATAACTTATTACCTTATCTCCGTCCAGTCCTGGAGGACCTGGCAGACCAAGTTCACCCTGAGGACACACCAAGGCTGTATTACCAACTCGGCAAAGAATGCAACTTTTTATAATACTTATACACAGGATTTAACAACTCTGAAAAGTCATCATGGCAGCAACTATTTTATCTTTTATCACAACAATGGCAAGGTAAACTGTAGAAATACACTATTGAAGTTACAAATTAACTTTTGGGTTTCCATGTATTTGATTGGCCGCCAATGTGGCACCTCGCTGGATGATGCTGCATTGCGTTGCTGTAAAAGTTGAGCCAAGTTCAACTTCTTTGCCAGAGGACCCTGCATTTTTTTCTGGAGCACTTTGCATTGGCACTAGTGGAGTAAGGTAATTACAACGGGCCCCAGGACACACTATTATGGTGGGGCCAGTTACTTTCTAATGCTTTTCCTTTGAAAGGCATGAATGCTCACTGGGCTTGCATATGTGCTCAGCACTTCAGTCTTGACTAATTTTGTGCCTAAACTAGGTAGAATATATTGTATAGTCTTATCACATGATCAAATAGAGACTAAACATCATCATCAACATACGTACATATTACCCATCATCATGTCTGTATGAAAAGAAAAGATTTTTCATTTAATTGACTATTTGTATAGTAAATTTTTAGTATTTAGAGTTTATGTCGAATAAAGATATCATCTTTTTATAGATTTCTACTGACCATTTTTCAAAAGGAACAAAATAACAAATGAAAACCAGATATGGGTTCAACTTCTCTTTTTCCCGTGTGGTCCCGTGTGTTATATAATGTGAGCTCTTCTTTGCATACAGGCATATTTTCAAGGTTCTATTTCCTGTAGAACTCGTGCATCACCTCACACATTGCCGAAAGGCCTATTCTCTCCATATATGCTGGCCTCATCCAGCATTTGTAGCTGTACATATGAAAAACAATGCACCGTAATTCATAGATATTTTAAACACATACTTATCATTGAGGGAATATAAAGAGGTGAATGGCTCCAACAAACAGTCATCTTAATCCAGGGGACTATTGGGTACTTCAGTAACAACGCTTTATTACTTATTTCAACCCAAACGACAATCTTTTCCTGAACCTAGATAAGTGTTTTTGTTGCCTAAACATAAGTAAGTTGTTTCCTGTTAAGAAGGAAGTTTGTTTTGAAAAGACTGTATGCATATAACCAGCAGATATTGAAATGTGTTGCTGGACTTTCGAAGGAAAACTCACAAAAAATTAGAAGTAACTGGTCATAAAATATACAAACCGTCTGACTGACATAATTTAAATGAAGTTCGATGTGCTTCCACCCAGGGCATATTTTTATGCTTTAACATTCTACTATTTTCTACTATTTAGGTATGTAACTCAGGCTGTTTTCATACACTGTTCATAGCTACTGTATCTACGAAAAGTCATGCACTATAATTCGTATAACCCACATATACGATTTGTAATTACTACAAATAATCACGAGCCAGGACGGGTGATCTCGTAGTCTACCCAAACCCAAAAGTCAGCGTTGACTCATGTAACTCGAGTAACGCCATTTCCATTGTTATTTTACCCAAACAAAGATCTTTTCCTGAGCCGAGTCACTCTGGCTATGGCACAAACACAACATTAACACTTACAACAACACTCCAAAACAATATATTTATTTTCTGAATGTAGGAATTGTGGCTCATCTTTTACATGCAGTGTGTAATGAAATAGTGTCAGAACATAACGTGTTAATTGTCATATTAAAATCTCTCCTACTTTGGTACCAGGCAGTCCAGGGGCCCCTGAAGGTCCAGGTAATCCAGGGGGACCCTAGGAGGAGAAGATATGATGCCATTAAATAGAACGTTTACTACTGTTCTGCGCTTGCACATGTTGTGATAAACTCTAGAATGTACTTACCATCAGGGGTATGTTGCGAATATCCTGTGGAGGAATGTTGAATGTTACAGTATTTGTTTACTCTTTACTGTTAATACATGTAAGGAAAATTGCTACTAAATATGAGTTACACATACATTTTCATTGTTGTGGATTTCAGCCTTTCCTGGCTCCCCAGTTGGGCCTGGAGGACCCTATAAGGTGAAAAAAAAAAATTGTTAACAATATCATTATGATTATAAATATTCATTTTGTGTCAATATTTGCAACAAGGACTCTGCCAGTCCCCACTTACTCTTGGTCCAGCTGGGCCATCAGGGCCTGCTTCCCCCTAGAGGTTAGATGAAGGTATGACACTTAGATTCTCCATAAACACTCTCAACTTGTGTTATTATTTGGAAAGTCTTCCCATTATGCTGTTTTATCTCACCGTGTCTCCCTTATCACCCGTGTCACCCTGAAAGATAAACATACAGTCACTTCCATGGACACTAGCTTTTGTTAAAATGTTACTTAATAATAATTGATGGAGGCATTGCTGTGCATGCATGTACTGTATCTATACTCTAATACAACTATTTCCCTTTACCTTTATTCCCATTAGGCCTGGCAGTCCTGGTGAACCAGGTTCTCCTTTAATTCCCTGGGCTACAAAGCTCGCTTCTCCCCTCTCACCCTGCCATACATAGAGAGCAAAGTCTTAGCTGAATGCAGTACGACGTGTTACTATTAACCAGACAAGAACAATAATGAATAGAGATTGACTGAAAAACATAGATTTTTTATGTCCAATATGGTGCTGAGACATAAAAAGTAGGATCCACGGATAGAATTTGAAGAAAAAGGAAGTTAGTATGCTAGTAAGTGCTTATGAGTCGAGATTATTTGAGCATTTCTGTACATTCCCACAGATCACAACATGTCCAAGACAATCCATTCTTCTGTGATTCAGACTGAATCAACAATAAAGTTAGCGCCCCGATTCTGAAGTAGTCATTTAAGCTGACTGATTATATCATCCAAAGACACCAAAGCACTCCAACAAACCACGAGGGAAGCACAGTCCTATTTGGAGCTTTGGCCCGTCACAAACACAAAACACTGATGCGATGAATGTCTGACTACAGATGTCCAGTTATTAGAGGAATAAGGGTGACTGACTGACGGACAACCAGACAGTAAGGGTGCTCATTCCATTCCAGGCCTACCCTGTAGCCCCTCTTGCCTGGGATGCCAGGGGTACCTGGGTGGCCAGCCTGGCCCTTTGCAGTGAAAGAAAGACAGTTATGAACCACTGATCTGATTGGGTATGTAATAACTGCCACACACACTGCTCATTAATGACTTTACCTTTAACCCAGAAGCGCCCGGGAAACCTGGCCCTCCCTACGATGGCCAAGTTGGCATAAAGGTCAAATATGGTGGAAAAGGAAGAAAATGAAAAGAATTGTCAGACAGTTTTTTTCAGGATATTGAAAAAGACATGCAGACACATCCAGAAAGCAATTATGCATGCAATACATGGAGAGAGTACTGAATGGGCTAACTGGGCAGAAGAGAAGTCAATCTAATGACTCCAAAGACAAAACAACCATAATGAGATGCAAAATGACTACAAAGAGAAGTCAAAAGACTGGAAACAGCATCTTCTCTCAGACTGGGTGTGTTTTCCTATGCAGGAGGAGTGGGAGCCAGGGGCCCAATTTCTCATTATCTGCCCATGTAAAAGTATAGAGTGAAAGGAACCACAGTTGAGTCTGTGTTCTTGCTCCTCTTTTCTTTTGAATGAGTAGATGGTTTAAAGATGAGGAACAGCCACAGCGGTGACAACACAAAGCACAGCCACAGCTAGATGGTAGAAGGAGCTTCTACAATCCTGTTTTCCCTAGTGGAATCGGTAGGCTGTCCACTGTGTGTCTGATGATGCTTGAATATAATTTATTTTAGTTGTAGACAGAGGATAACAAGTTCATATTGCCAGTGTTTTCTCAGAGGGCTGTGATTTGCTCTGTATAGCAACATACATGAAGACAGAAGATGCAGGAACCATTTGAACAAGCTCCATCAAATTAGCACTAAAATACTAATTTGACTAACCTTCATCTTTGTATCATTAGCATTCCGAGTTGCCAGGAAGTCCAAATGACTTGGTACTGTGATAGCCCACATGTATCAAATGTTCAAGTAACACATTCAAGGTTGTGGTGCTTCCATTTCAACCGCTATGGCAGTTAGTTTGGTCATATATAGATGACAAGATGTCAGAAGAAGGTGAGAGCTTTATCCTGTGATTCATTGAAAGACATGTATGCTATGGATTATCCACATTATCATACAACTTTAACCCATGATCCCTTTGCAGAAAATGGCATTTCATGTCCATGGATATGAATACATATTTACAAAATGGAAAGTAAAGCAGTATATATCAACAAGTACATTTCCATTGATAACCAATAAACAGGATCAGGAAGCCGCATATTTATAGTAAATGTATTTATTAGTAAGTATAATTACAGCATACTTCTATTGGTACGATTACTCATAATACTGCTATCGCTGTATCTACGAGGCGTAATGCCACTGTAGCTCATTTTAACACTGCTACTTCTTGCTTCTTAACCAACTGTTCTTACAGCACCATTGAGACAATACAACAAGCATTCATCCTTGGATAGTGTCATTACTGTATCTTGAGTACTGAAGGTCTTTTCCAGTTTTAATCACATGTAATTTATGATTAGGATGGAGATTAAAGGGACCACAACAGGACAGAGTGTCCATTGGCGTACAAGGGTTTGTAGCCAGATACAAGCCATGCTGGATCTCCATTATCCCCGCTACCCTCAGAAGTACCTGAGTGGTGAAGGGGTTCAATAGAGGCGTTCCCAAAGAACCAACTGCCCCAAACAGGAAACAGCATCTCTCTTTGATCTATGACTGCTCAATCAGCTTGTAGCATTCCTCTGGTCCTGGAAAGTTTGTCCTTCATTCTATTTTAACATCTCTCTTTCCGTGACATGGGCGGAGGCCCAGATGGATGCTGTCACACTGGCATGCCTTGTCTTGATTTATCAATATGCTAATCTCTTTTTTGAGGGCATGCAGCCAAAGGCTTTCCACTTCAGAGGAAAAGTACGGAGGGATGAGTTTGAACCAATCCCTCACCCTCACACTTACAGGAACTGTAATCATCTTCCAATGATGCTGCAGGATCACTTGTTTTTGTTCTGCTTGTACTGAAGCCAAGTCGTCCTGTCACACTCAGTGTCAGAGGAAGGACATGGAGACGCAGCTACTCATTGCCAGTTTTGGTAATGATTTACAAGGAGAAGTTCCATGTGTACACTAAACAGTGAAGTGGTATGCTTGGTAACAGATGGACAGGATTAGGTTTAGTCGAATGTATCAGTGTCATGATACAAAGTTCTTATAACGTTAAGAGCACTTAAACGTTATACATCAGTAAGCCAGCTTCACTACTGCCAAATATCATAGAAATAAGGAATTTTCCAGAAAATATTGATTGTCAAATATATCAATGCCACATGGTTTCTAAGAAGCACCTTTGCCTAACGGTAAAGGCCAATCAAATTTGTTTTGATCAGATCAGAAGTAAACAAGAAAATATGTGTCAATGAACAGTTTCATTGTCTCTCAACTGAGTACCGCTACTTATGTATATATATACAGTTATTGTAAGTGTCAGGCATACTGTGCTATATTCCTGTTCAAACAAGCCACGATTGGAGGCAAACGTGCAGTTATGTGCAATATCTTGATAAATAGCCACTCCTGTATTGGTTCTTGCCTGTCTGTGTCCTGTTCCTGACCCTTACCCTTCACATGTTAACCTGCTCAGGATCTGCTGCTTGTGTTTAGTTATGTTGCCAGTTTGTGACCCGACTTCCGGCCTTTGTCTTTTGGGATTTTTGTTTGTGTGTTTGTACAGCCTTTTGCTGCCAACTGTAAGAGTTCATTGACCGTTCACTAAAGTGCCAATATTCATTCTGCTCTGCCTTAGTGACTGCATTCAGGTGCTCTTTCCTCTTGCTTGTCGATGGAATGTGACATTGCATTTCTGCTTATTCCTCTACGATCCTCTACCCTCACAATGGTCTGTACAAAGCTAGGGACTTATTGGGGGTAGGTATTTTGCTAATTTGCGCTCATACTACTAACAGTACAGTACTTTTCATTCAGAATTTCTTTTCCCCTCTCACATTTAAAAGGGTACATCCTCTTGAGACCATACAAGTGCCAGGTATTATACATATTATAGAATATAATGCAGGATATTAGGCTTAAGAGTGCTAGTAGTAGAACGTTCATGGGGTGTACCAAAGATAAATGGTTCAAGGAATCTTCCTCTGGGCACCATGAATATTTGGACAAAATATTTGCATCAGGTATCTTGCTCTGGACCAAAGGACGAATCTAACCCAACCTTGATCGCCACTGTGTTCTGATTCATTCAGGAGATTCAGATTTCTTAAAAGAGGCTAACTGTTAAATTAAGTGACAGAGAGAGATAACACAATATGCTGCATACAGATGTATGGCCACAATGAAGAGTTATAGAACACAGTGGGTGATTGGAGAACTTAACTGCTGTCTTCCCCTCTTCTCATAATATTTCTCCCAGCTGGGTAGCTCATTGGTTTTCATTTAAAGTGGAAACAGGCAGAGATACCTTTTCATTTGGTCAAAGAAGTGTGACTGTTGGCACACACTCTCCTTTGTGATGAAATCCACACTCTCTCTGTCATCGCATGTTGCTTATACCAGAGGTAAAGTAAAGTCAAAGCTGCTCTCAAAGATGGAGCTTATTAGATCAGTCTATAGCGAAGCAGTAGAGTAATTCACCAGAGTGACCAATGGGACAAGGTCTTGAGGTGGTAGTTGGTCTGCTTCCTTCATGGCTAGACTTGGGCAAGTCATTATTTGTGCCAAGACCTCTACCTGGCCCAATTTATTGAACTCAGCTCTCTGAGATTATATATAGAACAGACTTCCCCTGGGTTGATGAAAGCCTCAACTCCTCATGTGACCGTACCCTAACGCTGAAGGATCGGCCTGCAAAAGCTATTTCACTTTATTATTATACAATAAAAGCTTTCCAGATCCCTGCTTCCTATGGATACCAACGAATACGCACTTTCTTTGAAGTTTTCTGCTTTTTACTCCCCCCCCCCTCCATTTCTCCATTTATTAGGTTTAATGGAGAAAACACACATATGACTGCCACTGCTACTGCCATGCTACTGTAGCCAAAGAAGCTGTTGCTGCAGGTCAGCTGGGACTGGGACTCCTCTGTGTAGTCTGCATAAAATTGGACAGGCATATTATATCCATTAATGAGAGGGCCCAATGGAATGCAGAAGTGCCTTTAACCTGCATTCTTTCTAATCAGGGGGTGACTCCTGTGGTTGCAAAAATAAGCCTGATTGTATAGAAGTCTATGTGAAAATGACCCTATTGTTTATTACCTCAGTAAACATTGTAAACATGAGTTTATGGTCTCAATTGCTTAAGTCTTCTTCAATACAGCATGACGTTCATTGAGTAGACTATGGTCCCATTTAGAGTCAAATAAACCATAAAGCAGATTATACTTTAGGGTGGGGCTAACCTGACAGGCTGCTTCAAAACCATAGTCCACAAACCAATGGGTGACGTCTGGTGGTGTTTTGAAATATGGAGTGCCCAGAGACTGTTATAAGAAATGGACGCAGTCACCGTGATGTCACTGTGACGTCACTCATTAGTTTATGTCTCATGAACACTGAAATGTCCCGATTGAATAGGATCCTAACAATTCAAAATAGAACCAAAAAGGCCAGATTAAACATCACGACAAAAATAGAAAGATCCCCAGTGCACGTGCACTATATGTATTCTTGCCAGGTAAAGCCTCTCAGATTAAAAAATTTAAGGGCCGGGGTGTTAAGAGCCATGATATTGAGTATACCATTGCAGTAATACTCCATGTCCTCTCATATGGATTTGAATTCATGATGGATTTCAGGTAACTTTTGAAGTACCTTTCCACTTAGAGATACATTTTAAAGAACTTTTAATCCAGACTCCAGCAGCCACATCTGTGATCTCGCCATGCATAAATAGATCTTAACACGCCACACACAAACTCCATGCTTGACTTTCACTCTACCTTCCCTCCCCTCTCTCCAGGGAAACCCCTCTTTCCTTCATCTCCCTACAGAGTGGATGGAAACATCAGCTCAGAGATGAGACATGCCCTTTCAACCAGGGTGAAATCAAAAGACAAGCAGAGGCTCAGGGGGAAAAGGGAGTATTCCTTCTAGACTGACAGGAGGAGATCTACATTTTCAGAGATGACATCAGGGGCCTCCTATCATGTTGGTCCCTGGATAGAAGCAGTAAGAACTTGCCTTGTCAAGAAATTAGTAGCAAGTGGAGGGGAGATTTTTCATCCAGACGGGTAATGCAAGTAAGGCAACTTATTCTAGATCCAGATCATGACTCTATGATCATGTTGTCAGTCAAAGGCTTGTCATATAGGAACAAAACTTGCCATTCAACATGTGCTAAGGGTATGGTAAGGGTTAGCATAACCTTAATCCTAACCCCAAGGTTGTGATAACCCTTTTCTCTGCTGAATGAAGTGTGTCTTTCCAATAAACTATAAATCAAAACTCCCAAACTTAGATCATGATTAAGTTAGCAAGAAGATTCTGTGTGAACAAACTGTCTACACCGGGCGTTTAGATCTTCTATTCTTTCCAAAGAATTGACAGACAGAATAAGCAATGCAAGGTCCGTTCCTCTGTTAATACATCCATGTCAGTCTAAAGCACAAGCTAAAGCTAAGACACAACTGGGCCGTAGCTACTACTGACCTCAGTTAGCATTTTATCATTATTTGTTTTTGATAAAAATGTGGAGGTTTTAATTCCTGAAAGCGCAATTTACTTTCTATAGCTAATAGTTACAGACTCTTACATTTTAAATGCCCCAAAAGTTTAAGAAAACAATTCTAACTCAAGGTGAGTAACTAGCTTGTGACATATTGGATTTGACAATCTGGAAAAATATATTGTTCTAAAGCTGAAAACTGATTTTTCATTTCCTCAAGAAAGTTGTATTTAGAAAGGTTTATGCATCTGTATGTATCTTTGTGAGCAAAACTCCATCTACTAATTAAGATGATCAGATGCATTTGAGACTCAAATCAAAAAACAGTAAGTGGATCTTCAGAGAAGGTTCTTTTGTCGGTACAAGCACAGTTTGTTTTTGGTGTCTGAACAAGAGTGTTTAGAGGAGGGGACAGGTCTCAGGACGTCCTTAACCTGAATAGAACAAAGCCAGTGGGGTGTAACTTTCATTGGCAGCTGTTCCTAATATTTTGAGACTCTTAAGAAAAATGAAAAGGTAAAAAATCTTACCTTAATTCCTTGGTCTCCGGTAATTCCCTGTGAAGCAAAGCAGAGGCAAATATAGTAAATGTAACAACTGACAACAATCAATCCACTAGATGGAGCAGGAGATCCTCTATGAGCATTATGGGGAGCAGTGAGGACTGTTTCCAACACCTCACAGACTGGATGTTTAAACTGAAGGAGCATTTGCATTTGCAATTTGTTGTTCAACCTCTGAAACAAAAAGCCAGATAATTGTGCCTGCGTAGGCCTCGTCTGTGTCCTCTTAGTGACCCTCAACTCGGTTGCCTGATGTGCTCATAAAGCTCATGGCAGAAAACAGATTCAGGGTTCTATGCTGAGTTCATGGGAAAACAAAGTGAGACGGATAATGGTTAAAGTTTACAAGGCAATAATCTGCACAGAAGCTCACAGCAACACAGTTCTTCCAGTGGTCCTGTCCTCAAAACTTCAGGCTGAATCCCTTTTATAGAGTCATGTTATAGATATATACTGCAGTTTTGTTGGGACAGCAGCAGCCTGTTGGATGATACCCAGATGACTGAGATGTCTCACTGGAGTAAAGTTGAAGGGGAAAAGTAAAAGTCATGAATTAATGAACATATGACGTATTGGTTACATCTCTACATTTTATAATTGACTTCCTGAAACTCAACACTGTTGCAGTTGAGTTTTCTAAAGACCAACATCAAGTTGGAAGGTGTTATTTAGCCTTACTTAACACCAATTATGGGTGGAATCTTTACATTACATTACAGTCATTTAGCAGACACTTTGCGATTTACAATTCAGTCTATCACATTTCTACACCGTAGGCACAGCTACGGGAGCAATTTTGGGGTTAAGTATTGTTCTATTGAAGTGTTGTTAAACAAAATTTAATTTGGCTTGTCTTCAATTTCTATTGCCCCTTTCCCTCTGGACAAATAAAGCCAGTAACACCCACTATCGTCTGGCTTCTGCCTTCAGTGGGAAACGTTACAATCAGCATTGATTCCCGGAACAAATGACTCTGCAATCAGCTCTAGCTCCGACAACCTGAACACACCTGAACCCAGTTCAATGCTATGTGACTATTGTGAAATATAATAAATCAAATCAACAGGGATTTGGACAATTATTATAATTTGTTAACTTACGAAATATTCAATTAATATGCTCTCCTTAAAGCCACGTCATTTTACCTCGCTGCTCATCGTAAAAACCTCATTCAAACTTGACAGAAACAGAATAAAAGTCATCAAAACAGACTTTCCACTGTTACAACAATCAAAAGCAGAGACCATGTAAGGGATCCCCTCACGGCCAGTATGGAGAAGAGGAATGGTAACAATGACCCATCAACTCTTCCAGTGTACATATGGCAGTTGAATGTTGTATGAAGGTAGTTTAAACAAATCTGAGCATATGCTTGGAGTTGATTTGAACCTTTTGTCATAGACTTTTGAGTGAAAAACAAAAGACAAAAGTTAAACATGAAAACAGGTGGAATACCTTTGAGCCTTCAGGGCCTAGTGGGCCAACATCACCTTGATCCCCCTGTGAAGGGACAGAAGGGACGATATTATAACTTCACAAACAGACAGCAGAGGGACAGATGATTTGCTGAAAACATCTCTTCCTGAGGCGCTCCTGTCTGTCGTATGTCTTCTTTCCTCTAAATCACCAGCTTACTTGAAAACTATAAAACTGGACGTTTTATTCACCAAATCAAAGCAAACATAAATCAAACACAACTTCCTTCTGCCACTGCATTAATCCCTGCAGGTACTTGAAAGTACATGATACATGAAAGTCCATCATAACAGAGGGAAATAAATGGTTATTGTTTCATGATTGTCATAGAAAATCCATCTATTACTCAATGGACAATGTGCACAGGTTGTGTATAGATAGATTGTGTACTGGAATAATTATGTTCTAGCCAATCCAACCACATCCTGGATTCAACTGACCAAATAATTTTTCAAAAGTGATTCAGAAGACCACTCACCTTTAGTCCCTTCACACCTGGCTCCCCCTATAGAGATACAACAAAGTGTGTGCATAACAAGTACATATCCAGCCAGTGTAGCAAATGCAGTATTTTAAATAGAAAAGTGTACAGAAAGGCTTGGTTTCTGTCCCCCCCCCGATGCTTCTCCGATGGGGCTGCAGCCCAGCTCGCTTGTTTACTATAGTGAGAGGTATTTACAGGACTCTGGCCATCTCTCTGACCTCACAATCTACATTCCCCCTCTTAAATAATCTGTTACCATGAATGCTTTATGTGGAGATCTGCTCATCCAATCCAAAGGAAACATAGTGATGTGTAGAGTTTGTGTTGTGTAGGTTGGGGTTGGTCTGAATATTGAAGCAGCTGCATGGTGACCAAGTGGAAACATCTTGACCTGATCCCTGTTTCATGGCTAGTTTTATGCGGTCTTTGAGTGCGTTTGTCTGTAATAACTAATAGTCACCATGAGAGGTCACTGTGATGCCAATCATGTTTTCTAGAATTGTAATTTTGCTGTTTGGATAAGAAGAGAAAAATGTGTACCTTCAGTCCCGGTAAGAGCTGCAGAAACAATGTAGAAATCACAAGGAGGTTAATATCACACAACACATTTTCCCTCATGAGAAGATTCTGAAAGAATAAAGGTGGACGACTCAATGAACCAAAGCTTACCCTTGGGTCTTTTCCTGGTTTTCCTGGTTCACCAGGCTTACCCTGTATGAAAACAGCAGAAACTCTTTACACAGAATCAATGAGGCTATCTACAATTCCAGATTGTAAAAGCAACTATGTCTCTCCAACACGGTCTCACACACAGGTGATGAAATAGTCACAAAATGTTTTGTGTACAGAGACACGAGTTATCTGGGTAATTGTTTTGCGTCGCTTGCAACAACTTCTATTTGGGGAAAACATAATGTTACAGGACGAAAGTTAGGTTTAGGCTACAAAACCACCAACACTTTGGGACACGCAGTGTCTAACACTGGTCTTAAAAGTCTAGTGTTTGTTGGACCCATCCACTGACCTTCCTGCCCACTATAAATGTTTTTTGTCAATATTTCATACTATGTCACTATATCTGACAGTTGCATAGTCACGTGGATTTGTTATATTTGTGGGTACAAAAAAGGATCCTAATTGGCTTTCCAAACGGACGATTCGTGTCTGTGTATACAAAACCAATAGATTGCCATTGTGACTACTTCCTGACTTGCCATATGACTGGGCTGGCCTTTTGTAGATGTAGTGAGAATCTGTCCATAAAGTCTACATATTTTCCCAAGTAAAAGGCTTGAACTTGCACCGTAAACCTTAAAGACGCTGTTGTATCCGGACCTAAAACCGATAGATAATTGAGAATTATAAAATTTCGACGGAGCGCTTCTATTTTTACCGCCGCAACTTTTCTAGCCTTTACAGCACTCATTCAGCGATCCAAGAAACACAACGACCTATTACATGCATTGTAAATCCCTTCACGTGATGCTGCTCAGCCAATCAAATGTGTGTATTCCGATAAGTTTCCCGACTCTAGTGAGATTCACACACATGGGGGAGACGGGGCGAGAGAGCCAACAGAAAAAGTATGTGAGTCAGTGAAGCCATTTTACATTCTCCAAAAAGAGAAAAGTGGACAGTTTATTCTTAAATGCATCCCTTATTTTACTTGAAACAAGAGAAAAACATGTATATATATTGTTGAGATATTGTTGAATTGAAGGTTCTTTATTTGATTTGACAGTCAGTTGTTGACTACATACAGACGTTAATACAACTGCTAGGCTACTTCAATGTATATAGGGCACTAAATCAGAGCGCATGTTACAGATTACTGTGACGTTCCGGACCTTTGCAAGAGGAAATTCTCTCTAAATGGAGCTCGTTGACTTTTAATTGAATACCCCTGTTGTAGACTCTCTTTATGTAGAAGAGTAGTTTCTGCCAAATTATAAGCATCTTATGAGGTTCCAATATAGTCTTCTCAACACCAATTAATGCAATTCATGTATTTATTCTAAATTCTTCAGTAGGAACCTTTGGGCTTGGTGCTGAGAGCCACACGCAGCGTGAGGGAGTCATAAAGTATCGAAAGACAGAAACACACATTGAATGACCACCGATGCATCATTTTACGCTGCTTTCGAGTCTCTGTCCAACAACTTGTGTAGGTGGGCTATTTGTAAAAGGAGAATTGGAATTTGTGGTTGAAAGCAGACTGGGACTCACCACTGGGCCACTGGCTCCATTCAGGCCGGAGGTCCCTGGGAGTCCGGGGGGTCCTGGAGGTCCCGGGGGTCCCTGCGCTCCAGGCTCACCCTGCTGGGAGACCTTGAGTTACAATCTGCCATGCTGGAGCATGCCTCACCACACTGGCCATGCCCACACAACAACCTCACACAACACCACAAATAACTGCAGCAGGGGGGTTGCAGAGAGGAAGGTTAGCCGGGGAGCAAGGCAAGCGTTTATACTGGAATGCTTGAGCATGAAGATTCATTTTTGACATTTGGAATGCGTATGTTGGATAAAATATTCCAAATTCAAAGATCATTCTTTTCCAGGGCTTGTACAATATCCAATGGACTTCAGGGAATTGAGCTGAGTCAGGTGTCAGGACATAATCAAGGAGCCTTGTTACAGGGTCTTACCAAGAAGGGCACCAGAGGCACATTGGTCATGGCATGAGCTGGTAGAGATGTAAGCTCAGTGCAGAACTTTGTTTTACTGACTCCTGGTCAATGGCTTTGATCCGTTCCCTGTGGATGTTGCACCTAGCTGCCAGGCCCTTACCCAGGGCCCCAGCATGGAACCCAGGAAAATGGAAGAGCACCGTTTCCGCACTTTCTCACTCCCAACTTGTCAGTTACTGACACTTGATCATTGGCCTTGCTCTTCAAACTATGACCTATAGGGTCATAGTTTTGTTTAGTCCAGCGTCATTTTGGACGCGGCAAAGACGGCCTGTCAGTTTCCACTCATTACAAGTACAGTGTCTTTTCAAAAGAAACTTTTGTCTCACAGGAAGTTAGGTTTAGACAACAAAACCCCTTCGTTAGATTCAGGAAAGCTGCTTGGCTGACTTAACTGACCAACGACTCAGGTCGTTACTGAGACAACAAGTCATGTGACAAAATATCCCCGTTTACTTTTAGTTCCACATCGGAAATAAACAAGTCTTACGTTTGTTACTTGAATTTCCATGTTCACAGGAAACTTAGAGTTTCTGCTCATTACACGCATACAATCTCTTCTCAAAATATAATTCCAACATATAGGTTTAAGGTTTATTAATGCAACAAAACTACTTGGTTAGACTAGGAAAAGATTGTAGTTTGCGTTAAAATAAATATAATTTTTATGAAAACTAAGTACATTTGTTACATAACTACATAACTTAAAAATAGATACTTAACGAAACTAATGTAAAATAAGTTACCAGTGACTTGGAGCAGCGGCCTCCTGGGTGAAAGTCCTGTATTAGTTTGAGTCACTAAACCTCCCCTCTCACTCTATACTGTATCAGTCGGTCTGGGCATCTCATAACGTCGTGATAGTTGAAAGCCCAGCGCATCTCAAACTGGCACTAAAAGGTGCTTCTGTGCTTCAAACTGATCACAGCAGCACCTGAGAAGAGGTCAAAGTCATTGACAAGGAGTCAGTGGACAGCAGCAGAAAGATCAAGGAGGACATCCACATATGAGGCCAGAGTCCATCTTTGAAGAGTGTCAGGGGTTACCAAAGGGTGGTACTTAGGTCACCTGAGCAGGTTCCATTATCTGACAAAGGCCAATGGAGTTGAAAAGTTCTAGAGAAGTGAGCACACTAAGTGCTTTCTTCTTAGAGACTACTTTTGATAAGAGAGCAAGGCACTGGGAAATATGTGACACTGATGTAATTCTTCAACTTTTTGGCAAGTCAGATAGAGTGACCTGGATTTCTTAGATCACTTACCATCAAATGTACTCCCGCTTTATAAGTTGAGCTTTAAATTGTAATTGGGTAAAAAGAACATCTTAATAATTGAAATGAATGAACGTCATCTTGACATTGATCCTTCCTGCAGCTTCTTTGAAACACACTGCTAATCTGAGTGCGTTCATTCTTTAGACAGCCAGAACCCTGGGAGTTGACTCAAACCAAAGCCAAGACTAAACCAAATCAAATAAAGGACATTTACAATGAGCACAGGATATGAAGAGAATAAATACACCTCAGCGGCTGACATAAATCTGTCTGGCTGCTACACGTCCTCAATCTGCTTCTCTTGTTTCCTGCTGAAATCATTTCCGCTACTCACTGTTCGGAGCTCATAAATTCAATTGTATGTTTCTTACAGTTCAATACTTTATAGAGAAGACACCTCTATATGGAAACATGTATTACCATAGAGGGCAACAAGTTTGCATGGCATGATATTTAATGCATTATGCTCGAGTACGTGATTTATTTGCACATGTGTTGCGACTTAGAGAGGTTCCTAACACAAAGCGCTGTCCTCCTTCAGTCACTCAGCAATCACGGTGTTATTGCAGGAGAACACACATGTACAGTAGCTCTGCCAAGCTTCTATTCTAAGATAATGGAGAACATATCCGATCCATATTTTATCATTCCTATTCTGCACCCCAGTGCAGAATGTGTCCAGATATGATTTATGTCTCTGGACATGTTGGGATTTTCTCAGGGGTTATACACACACTGTTATTGGCAGAGTGCAGCCGCCAATGTGCTGTTCTGGACTGTTTGACCACGTGAAAGAATATTCTAGAAGGAAAAAAAACAGATGTCCATTATATCAGATGGTCAATACTGATTGGCTGATATCTTATTTATTATGGGAGGCGGGGGCAATTTAACCTGTGTAGTCCATCTTGTATTTTCAAAATGAACCACAAGGCAGCACTTTTTTTTAAACAGTACCTACGATCTGAACCGTAGTTTATTTGCCATAACCACAATCTTTCCCTAAGATAGTTTCCATGCATAGATATTGTAGAAAGATGTAAACTGGGAGTCAGTAGAATCATCAATATCATTGTTCTTGACCGGTAATAGGGTCGATTAGCATATGCATATTATTATTATTTTATATCTCACTGTTCATATTGAACTAATCTGTAAAATATTCACAGTTTTTGTCCGTTTAGTATTTCTTCTATATCGGCACATTGCCGCTAGGCCTTCATTTTATGTTTTTATTATTAATCTCTGGGAGTACTACTCAGCCTGAGAAAAAGGTAGCCAATGAGATGCCACCACGTTGCATTGTGGGAAATGTAAAATCTTGCTTTTTTTTCCCCTTTTTTCTCTGCTTCACTATTGACATTTTGTCTCTTCTGTTAGTGAAATACTAAGTCCCTTTAAGGTCAGGGAAAGGTGGTGGTCAGGGTTCAAAATAATGATTATCAAAAGGATTATTGTCCGTACTGTGTGTTTCTGCCTGTGTTGACCCTCAATGTTGTCACTGAAATGAAATCACTAATGCATTTTCATTTGAAATAGAAATGTCTGCAGGACTTTATGGAGGTACTAGGATGGACTGGACCAATCAGTGGATTGTTTAACACTATTTTGATAAACACTATTTGTTGAATCTGTTTTGCATGTACTCATATTTGTTATCTTTTCATGCCATTCGTTACCTCCACTTAAAACCTCAATGTATAGTTTTGCCTATGATTTTCTTTTTTTATCTAAGGTGAAAAAAGCTCTAAATAAAACATGATTTGTAGTGTGCTTGAAACTAGAACATTGGAGCATTTTTGCTTCATATACTGTTATGCATCATTGAGAGAAAAGGCCTTGAATATGCCTAAACATTCAGAAGCAGGAGCAGCCAAACGCTGGTTAATTACAGCATGACGGCGGAGGAGGGTTGGGGAGGTGTTGGCGACGGATCATGGTGGTTGGCATCCACATGGCGAGCAGAGAGCAGGGGGGAGGTAGGGGGAGAGAATTGTACCTTGAGGCGTTTTAGGATTAGAGGGCTTATTGAGGGCATGTTGCGTACGGTGATGGGCAACATCTGCCAGGGGGAGTCACAAAGCACAGGTGGCCAGCGGTGTAAAAAGGTCACAGGGCAAAGGTCACCAGGAGACCAGAGAAAGGAAACAGGGTAGAACCAGGAGGAAAGATGGGGGAGGGATATGGAGGAAAAAGAGAAATAGAACATCATAGTGAAAAGCAAGGAAATGGGCGGGAAAAGGAGAGAAAACAGGAAACAAGGCTGGAGAAAGGAAAGACAACAAGGGCACCAGCACAGCAAACTACGGGCTTGGAGTGGCAAAGGGGATGGTTGATGTACTGTGATGCTTCTTTGTTTAAAAAGAAAAACTGAAGGGCGTTCGAATTCTAAAATGACTGTCAGTCTGTTGGTTGATAATCATCAAGCATCCCCTATTCAGGATCTATATGCATCAGTGTCCCCATTCACAGTGAGCCAGGCCCCTAGATTGCAGCGGAGCAGAGGTGGGCGCCAGTCTTGCCACAAAGAGAGTACAGCAGTACAGTTACATTGCACATCCAGACTTACTGTGGCCAACCGTCCAACACAGGGCTGTACAATACGCCGCTTCTGTTGAGATGACCAGCAGGATCAGATACAGTTTAGGACAAGACGGTTCAGTACGATCCAACTGACAGCTACATTTCCCCACTGACACCAAGTAGAACCAGCTGCATGCAACTTGCCTACTATTTACATAGCGTATATATTTCCACAATTTTTATTATAGAGCAACCTTTAAAGCAAAGATACCTTCACCCAATATTAACATACATATTTCTAGTGTTAATTCAGTCTTGGAAAATACTTCTTCTCATTGTAGGTCCGTTGAAAGCCAAAAATAGCAACAGTACTATTTCTATGGAAATATATACAGAACGTTAGAAGTAGATATAAGTAGGGGTATACATGTAGTAAGTAGGCAAGTGTGATGCTTTGTCCCTCACCATGTCCAGCTGTCCACCACAACTGTTTTCAATGTGTAGAAGTCAAGAGCTGCCAATATTAATTGATGAAATATTATATTATATGGTCCAATTGTGTTCAATTTATGTATGTAAAATATATATATATAGTTTTGTGTTTAAGCATTGTTTGTTATATATAATACAATCTAATTAGAACATTTCCAAATGGCAGACCATTTTCAACTGACACCTGAAAATAAGTTATATCTCTCTATGAATTGTATTTTTGTAATTTCATTTTGTCATACATGTGCACACACATGGCTTTTTTTCAAATTAAATTCACTGATTTAATTTGAATATTGGCATCTCTATGCTTCAGTAGTATGCACAGTTAAACTTAATTCCAGTAACAATTTAAAGATATACCAACTGCATATTATGTAAAATTCTTCTCATCTAATTTTTTTGGATATATCTTTTTTGAAAAAGTGACTTGAAATATTGTTGAACCAAACCACATTGATGGTTTTCTTTCTGTTGGGTGGAGAGCAGAGGGTGGAGGGGTGCCTTGGCTCAATAGGGCACTGGCTCTCTTTGCGGCACGACTTGGTGACACCCTGCTTAGGGTTATCTATCTGGGTGTTGCCACCCACAAACCTTCAACATCAGAGCCTGACTGGAGCGCAAGGCAGCCAGGGATTTCAGAGGGAGATCCTTCACAAAGAGGCCCTACACACCAGGGAAGCGGTAGTTTAAGTCAGAGCTGGTAACGGTGGCATGTCATGTCTCATGAAGCCTGAATTCCAGATGATTTCAATTTACAAGAACAGCTCTGCTTTTAGAGAGTGAGATGTTCAGATGGATGTCAATCTTAACAATTTATCATCTTTGTGTTAAGTTCAAAGCTGCAGCCAAGATGTGGTTAGCCTAGCTTAGCATAAATACTGGCAGCAACTAGCCTGGCTCTGTGCAAATTGATGAAAAAAAATCGACTTAATCTCATGAAATATTCGTTTGTTTTAAATTTCATGTGAACAGGAATTTAAAATAGTAATTCACGATTCAGACATATTGGGCATTGCAACAAACATGCATTATAGAGAGACATATGTTATGGCCAATCAAGAAACCGTTGACAAGACATAACTGCCCCCAAAACCACAACAGTCTGTTAAACAGTCAGCTTTGTAGCAGTTTGTTGGTTTATCTTTTCAATTTGGACAGAACCAGGCTAGCTGTTACCAGCAGCTTCCAGTCTTTATGCTAAGCTAGGCTAAACACACCCTGAATCCAGCTCTGTACTCACACAGATGTGAGATTGATATCAATCCTCTGGCTCTCATAAAGAAGGTAAATAAGCATATTTTCCAAAATGTTGAACTATTATCAACAGCAGAGCTGCTGCTGAAATACACATTACACAAAAACACAAGACATATTTGTTGATTCTGCTGGCTTTTTCCTGAGACTCACTCTCAACTGAACATTTTACCTCCACCTACAGAAACCCCCCAGACCCCCTAAAGTATCACTATGGGATTGAGGCCTGGAGTGTGAGCAGACTCTGGGAATGAACCTCCCATACAGACTGCTGCAGGGGGTTCTGAAAAGCGTATGAAAAACAAATTCATGAGGCATACGGCTCGTTAGAGAAGGGGGACCGGGGTCCCCCACAAGCTAAAGACATTAAACCCCAAATCCTCTCTGGGTCCTTCTTCTGACTCCCCCTTCTGAAATGTATGCGACCTCAAGCACTTCCTGTCCAGAGATGTATATCACATGGTGCATTATCGATAACAGCTCATAAAACCATCTCAGCATCGTGCTGTTATTTTGAGATGCCTTTAAAAAATGTAGCTAATGTCATGGCGATGGCAAAGCATGACAAAAAAAAACTTTGATCATCTTAGCAGGAGCAGTTTAATAACTGAAAGGTTGAATTACGCTGGAAATGGCCTCTAGATCTGAAAAATCCCCCTTTACACAGGAGACTCTTATTCTTGGCAGCCGACACACAGGCTCTTATCACGTAGGGCTCCAGCAGGCCGCCTGGTAATTGCCTTGTTTTCTCTCAACTACCCAAGCCCCAGAGATGACGGGCCAAAGAGCTGCAGAGCTCTGCATGTGCTAGCCTTCACTGTGCTACCAGCCATGTGTCTGTCCAGCTGCTGGAGTAGTTTCCCTTCCTAAAGCTTCACTTTTCTATTCTGATCTGACATGAAGAAAGTGTGCATGGTGGACCTCTGAGACATGAATGCTTTACGCTGTAGGATGAACAATAGTACAGGTTGAGTTTGTGTCATAATATTAACATTTATATTGCAAAACAGGCTAATTATCTGTTTTTTTAGCATAAAGACTAATGGTGAAGTGCTTTTTGTATCAAAGTGTTTTCATACCCGGTGTGTGTAGTCTCCACATACGCCCTGGAGAAAACAGAAAAAAGTTTCATCAGAAAAATACTTTTTCATCTTAAAAATTCATATCAGAAAGTCTCTGTTATAAGTGATAACTGAGGGCAATATATTTAAAAGGAGGTGTTTACCAGGCAAGGAGGGTTCACCAAAAATCAGCTTTCATCTTTTGTATTGTAGGACATGTCGTGTTTCACAGCTTGGCCCATACGAGGGACTAAAAGTCAGGATATTTCGACCTCTGCTGGTTCAACTCTGAACTTTTTATGTAATTCCTCCTTTAAGAGTCCCACAGCTTTATGGAAGCGCGCTGCTAATTAGCTGGAGTGCCCATTACAGAAAATAAACATCTGAACCTTTCTTCCACCACTGCTGGCTGGTAAACTATAAGATGTGTTACTTGGCCAAGTCGTCAAACTACCGCAAACCATGTCTCACCTTCTCCCCTCTGGGTCCATGTTCCCCCTAGAAGAGAAACAATAAAAGGTGGATGAGATAAGTGAGTGGTTAAGCATTGAGCAGGTTATTGATGATGAATGAGATCCGACTTGAGGAACTTACTTGGAGTCCTTTAACACCACGCTGACCCTGAAAAACAACAGCAGCACAGTCGGTCTTAAGGCTTAGATTCAACATGACTGAAAACAAATGGCTCAAATAAACATGATGGAAACGAGTAAGAATGCCAAGGTATCAATCACACTGATGAATTAGCTATTACAGGAGTCTATTCCAATTACTTGTTGTGGGTGAAGGCACTAATTTTGACTTCCCAGCAGGCCCTGGGGCGTGCCCAGTGTAAGTAGCTGTCAGAGCTCAGGGACTGGTTGATTAATGAACTCAGGGAGAGGGCCCAGTAGGACACATCCACTCCACCCCATGCTGCTGACCCCACAGGCTCGGCAGCTCCAAAGCCACTTTGTGAAGGCAACAACATCTCTATACATCTACCAGCCCAGCCCTCAAAGCCCTGTTTAATGCTCCCTGACATCTGTCAGGAAGGAGACTGAGTAACAGGAGCTCATTACGGCCCCATTAATCAACATTAAACATTATTTCAACAGTATCCAGCCCCACTTGGCCTCTTGGAAATTCTGACATTTGTACTGGCATGGAGATCACTGGAGCTGTCCTCCTGCTTTAGAAAACAAACCCCCGATCTGGCCCAGAGTAATGGTCGACCAACAGAGGCGTGCGAGAAGCTACTGAATTCAGCAGCGTCGGCCTCAGATGGACAACACTGAAATGACCGACATGCACGTGGCAACATCATTCAAGAAGAGAGCTCTTTATACAGCAGATCTGTATTGAAGCTAGAAATAATTCAAGATGATGATCCAAACTGGTAAGAAACTCCAACAGAGTGAGAGAGCATTGATATCGAATGATTCTGCAAAACCTCAGAATGTGTCCAATAATTATGTTTGTTTTATGTTCAAATGCTTAAAAGTTTAAGATTGTGGATAAGTTCAGTAAAAGAATGAACTTTAGATGTCTGTGACAGAACACAAACAACAGCCTTCACACACACACTACTTCCTTCATTGAAACTGAACATTAACTTAAATAGTTAATGGACTGTATTTGTATCGTGCTCTTCTAGTCTTCCAGCCACTCAAAGCTCTTTAACACTACATGTCATCATTCACCCATTCATACCCATTCATACCCTGATGACAGGAGCTACTATGCAAGGTGTTACCTGCCCATCAGGACTAACTAACATTCATACCCATTCATACACCGCAGGCTCAGGAATCAAGTTTGTTTGGGAATATAGAACATTAACGGTGAAGCAAATGCTTGAGGCTTTAAATGTCCTGTAGCCTCAGTGAGTGTAAATCCCTTTGGGCCCATTTCACTTGGTCAGAGTTGTACCTACTAACTGCATGCAACCCACTCTTAGCCCATCACTGTGTGATATAAATCAGGCCAATCACATATTTGCTTTGGCTTGTTGGTGTAAATTCCATACATGCTCAAAATGTTATGGGCTCAGATGACCGGTGTGGATGGTATTATAGTGCAACTATGTTTATGACTGCTTACCATGTCTCCCTTCGGTCCGTTCTGTCCCTGTGAGAACAGTAAAGCAGTGAGTGCAGGTGGTATAATAACAACAGATACCGCCACTTGATTTCCTCGGACAAAGTTCTTAGAAATATTCATAGCGTGTTTAACCCCGCCCGATAAAATAACAGTAATGACGCTAATAGAGATTGTATTACAAGAATGACCATAATCATTCTTAGCTTAATTATGCTGATTATCACCACTGAGTGCTTCTGGGTACTGAAGAAGCACTCAATTACTCAGTTATTTCACTTTTTGACAGGAACTTGGGGAAACTCACAGACTTGCCATCCAGCCCAATTGGACCCTAGGACAAGAGAAGAGAAGGGGATGTTTTAGTACATATGGAGATCAGCAATAGCATGGCAAATGACTGCACCAGCTGGTCCCGTTACAACATCTGTTGGAAAGCTATCGATTTGCAAATACTCACTATATACTTAGCAGTTAAAAGACAAATGCAAAGGTGATGTCAGTGTAGATGAAGCCAACCATGTTGGCAGTAAAGTGAAATGTAGGTTACGATAAACCCTGATTCAGGATCGTCCTGTTCATCATGTAACTTGTAAATATCAGTGGGACTTCATACATTCAGCAGCAGGCAGAATGTTGAAATACTTGTTAGTATTTTACCTACCTACCTCTCATGCTCGTAAAGGAACAAAATAAAGTTTTCTCCTTCCCCCACCCGACTTGAGTACGGTTGAGAAGCCCTCAGTGCTGCCACTGGTGGCCAGAAGCTATATTGCAGCAATGCTAGTAATTGAAATAGTATTGTCATCTATAAACCTTCTGCCTTTGGTCAGTGGGGAAATCATTTCTGATCTTTGTTGGCTTGTTTTGTATTTTATAGAATAAATCATGTTGTTGTTTTTTATTTTGCTTCTTTACAATACGTACTTTACTTCAAAGTCAATACAAGATTGCTGACAACCATGTCAGTTTGTTTTTTAACCTGTAACATATAAAAAAAGTTTAAAAAGTATATAATTACTATTTTACTTAATTATTTCTTCTAATCAATCATGCAAAAAAGAAGTAAATAGTCACTGGTGGTGTATCATTGGCAGCTGATTCACCGTTATTCAGAATGCAGATTTACAGATATCTATAGGAACTAACCATTCGTTAGCATATTATCTAGCTCTCAATTCTCAATTCACAATCTTCTATCACTATTTAGTCACACATTTTCTTTGTGACGTCTTTGTGAATACATTAGTTTCTTACCTGTTCGTCACTTGTAATTATTTTGTAATTACGCCCTCCTGCCTTTAGTTTATTCAAGTAAAATCTAAATACACACATGGTCATGACTTACTGGAAAGCCTGGAAATCCTCTTGTCCCAGGTTGTCCCTGAAGAGAAACAGAAAGAGCAGTGTGTTTGTTGTTGTTCTGAAAGTCTGATTTAAAAAAATCAGCTGGAAGCAGGTCAGTGGAAGAGGAACCAGTTCTCTCCTACTGAGGTTTGAGGTGAGAACAAACATTGATTTTGGCACAAGGAGTGATCCTGAAGACTCTGGGGAACACATTCAGTGTGTGTGAGTGTGTCCTCTCTGCACAGGAGGAAATTGGATGCTGAAATGGAACACTAAAAAGAAAAGCGTTCTAATCTGATAAAGATGTAGGACTAGGGGGAGAAGGGTAATGAGCTCAATGAGTGTATGTCAATAACAACTAGCCAGGATACTTCAGCTGAACTCTTCAAACTGGCAAGAGACATGTAATATCCCCGGGAAAACAGTGATGTGGAAACAAAGATGTAGGGATCGACAATTACAAGGCGGTGAACGTGACTAATGACACAGATTGCCTGGAGGCCGAGGTAGTGCCCGCAGCTTTGAAAGGTTTCTATCCAAAAGACCAGACGTAGTATTGTTTTTATACGTGGTTTTAGAATTTGACAAAAACAAACTCTTAACTCAAGGTCCAAGGATAATTTCAAACTTTTCATAGTCTTGTGATCAAACTCCAAACCTCCCTTTGGTTACTAGTTCTAAAAAAATGTATATATATATTTACTCAAGGTTATTTTTTTCTAGCTTTTAATAGCATTTTTAAATGAATGTAAATTGAAATCTACAAAAAATTTAAGACAAATATTCATGCGAAACATGAAAAAGACGTCCTAAAAGAGCTGCTAGTGATGACCATGAGATGCAGCTGGAAGCTCTTTGAAAGAGCAAGTAAGTGCACCTTGAGTTATTTCTTGTTTTAACAAAATACTATTTCCAAGGTCAATAATTAATTTCCACTGGCAAGAAGTATTTACATAATAAGTAGATACATGATACATGATAAAAGGATGAAATCTCTGCAAAATACTAAGTTTCTTCTTTGAGTTAAGTGACTTTTCATGCTCAACTCTTGGGGCTAAACACACAAGTTCTCAAACTACAGAATCTGTTGATGACGATCATGAGATGTGGTTGAAAGTTCCAGAAAAGCTTAACATTTAAAATGAAGAATCGCCTATTAGACTCACTGACTCCCAATCTAGCATGGAAATGCCTTTTGCAAAAGTTCCCATGTAAACAAGCATTATTTTCATTCAAATCTTTTCCTGCATGTAGTTAAGAAGTCATTGTGCATGTGCTATAAAACATCTCATGCATATATCAATAAAATGAGTGTTATGCAGCATATGGTCTCAAAGTGGAGAACATCTTTGCACTCATCCATCTAACCCGATGAAATGACAATGTGGAGAAGAAGTTGAGGCACCGAGCTGGCCTCAGCTGTCAGATCCTCTCACTTTCCTCACCTCTCTGTTGAATTAACTCTCTTTTTCCGTCTAAGGTCACGACTGGAGTCTCTCATGTCAATCTCACCTGCTGTGCTGAACTAGCTTCTAAGTGTTTCTGACTGACTGGCCCTCTAAGTTCTGAACTTGGCTCCTACTGAACAGAGCTTCCTACACAGCCTGGTATTCATTAGAGGTGCCTATAACCATCTAGCAGGAGTGGGCACACACGGGTTCAGATTGTAAGAACCACCAATTAGAAGAACAGATGTGTGCTCCACTTAAATTGGCTAGACTTAGGCCATCCTCAGAAAAAGGCATATTATGGTACTTAGAGGCCACATTGTCCACCTGGAAACTGAAAAGGAGAAGAAAAACAAACACTGAAAGCATTTGGCCTCATGACAGGAGAATTTGGTTGATAACAATAGACGTCTGGATAACTAATATTGAGCCCAGTTGGACCAGGATGGATTTTCTCGTGTTGCTTCCTGATAAATCAAGCATGACTAATGATCCAACATGTGGCACAATGCTGCTGTTTCCACAGTCTGTAATTATATCGCATTATTCTATCATTTGTGGTGTGTTGATGTGCTTGACTGGACTCTCCAATTGTCTAGTTTAATCAACAGAACTGAAGGTCTGTTGTGTTTAGGAACCCTAATGTGTTAAGCAGGGGTGTAATACAATGCTTGGTTTGATTCAAGATTAGAGGTTTCTGAGGTGTAGGGAGGGGTACAGGCACTTACCGGAGGTCCTCTTGGACCAATGATAGACAGACCTGGCTCGCCTGGTGCTCCCTATCGATAGATAGAAGAGAGGAAGAAAGAGGAAGATATCATTAGAGAAATTCAGCACATCCAAAAGTAATTAGCTTTAGCGGAGGCAAATCCATCCACAAGCATCTGTCCAAACAAACACTGTGTCTAATCCTGACACATGAATACCTCCTCTCAGACAACGGTGGTGGACATGCAGAGAAATGTATGTCTCACTCTGGTCAGTGAAGTTGATCCACGTGATCCTGTGGAATAGGTAATGCTAGAGGCATGGCGACTATTTGTAGGGTTAGTTGGTTAGCTGCTTTAGTTAGCGAACTAACTGCTAACAAGCTGACTGGTTATTATGACAGAGACATATTTGTAGCGACTTCTCGAGTCGTGTGACAAAGCTAATAGGCTTCCACTCTTTTGGAATCTGAAGACTGTTTGCTATTGATCGAGAGCACATCAACTCATGTCAAAATCAATCAAAGCCTAACTACCATCGCCCATGCAAGCAAAACCTCACAATGCAGCAATTTAATCTTCGATAATTTTGCTGGAATTTTGAAATGCTTGAGGCCTCAAATATTTAGATTGACAATCACTTTCATCCCAGACCAACTGGTTTCAGGACCGTACTTCAGAACTGGACAGTGTGACTCAAAAGGTCAGCGGTGCGGCTAAACAGTGGAGTGCCTCTGGGCTCTAGATTTGGCCGAGAATAGTTGATTTGAACCTGACCCCCCCGCCTGCACAATCCCGCAAACCACTAAGGCCACATTGGCCAACTCAGGTTTCCAGCACTTTCCCTTAATAGCTTCTGTCCTCCTGAAGGGAAACCCTATCTCAGGGACATATCTGATGGTCATCCATCAAAGTAATTCTAAATATTCCTGAACAAATTTGTTTTCTCACTCTTGGTTTGTTGTCAGATGTATCACCAAGGGGCCAGAAGGCAAAGGTACTGGTGGAAAAACAAGATTCCTTTCATCTGAGGCAGTTTTCAGTTACTTGATTGGTTTTCTACAGCTTTAGTAGGTTAGACAAGTGAAGATCTACAGACACACTCATGGAGACATTGAATGACTTTGATTGCAAGAGGTCAAGGCAATGAGCCAAAGTTAGAATCACAACTAAAATACTCATACACCAACATAAAACCAGGACCCACTCATACACCAACATAAAACCAGGACCCACTCATACACCAACATAAAGCCATGCATATGTTGGGGAACACAACCAGACACAATGATGGAGATCTCATTTCCTTCTAAATGGAATTTTCTCAAGCCCATAAAGAGTAGGGTGTCCATCTGCTGTGCTTTTTTTGCAAAACCAATCCATCATGTCTTTCTGTTTTTTCTCTCAGCCGGAGACACTTTGTCAGTCTCTTCCCCCAAACACTGTCCCACTAAACCCACAGAAGCCACTTGTTGGAAGAGTGTTTTGGAAAAAGTTTGTCTTCATTTATTCATTTTGAGTTTGGTAAATATGGCCCTGACAGTTTCTTGCTCTCCAAATGTTAGCTCCTTCCTGAACCTTCACTTTATCTCTAAAACTTAAAGACGTAAAAAGACGAAGGAGTGAAAAAGGTTAATATTAGTGCTGGGCAACGATTACAATTTTTAATCGTGATTAATCGCATTGTTATGGCAAATTTCAGTAATGATTTCAAAAGTAGTGTATTGCACACGTTTATTTTAAAAGTACTGCTATATGAACAAAAGGGCAATAACATTTGGTTTGCAAACACTTTAAACAGATAAGGATCTTTTTAGCAGCAGTATTCCCTTTACACAGTAGCAGTTCTATCTCGTCACTATCTGTGCTCAGTGTGCTGACTTTATGTGAAACGTTCCACTGCTGTGCAACAGGAATAAAATGTTTCAGCACGTTTCAGCTAAATGTCTGTCTTGTGTCTTCATGACAATCAGAGCATGTGAATGCAGCTCTACTGTTCATCAACATAATGCTGTAACTCCGAGGTGATGATGGTGACCCAGCGATGTCCAGTAGTCTCCAGTGAGAGCAGCAGCTGGTGCACGTTGTAACGCCATCACTTTTGTAGTCCTCTCCTTTAATACAACTCCTGTATTCTTGTGATGGTGCGTCTTGAGGCTCATACGTGCCGTCATTCGTTGTGATCCTAAAGGTGCGTTCACACCAAACGCGACGCAAACGCACCTTGAGAACGTTCCTCAGACCGACATCTTCCACAATACTAACCGCTGCAGTTTGTCTCCACTTCTCTGTAGCATGTTAGCTTGTCTTGCTTTTGTTTATCTATACTTCTCCCACACGCTGCATCAACGTAGTCTGAAGACTTCCTCCACCGCTGCCAGTGAGCAACGCACTTTCAAAATAATAATTTTTAAAAAATGCGCTAACGAGCGATAAAATAATTGTCGGCATTAATTAATTAATGTCTTAACACGATAATAACGCGTTAACTTGCCCAGCACTAGTTAATATGAAAACTATTTATAAGATATTGCTCAACAATGTCTTGGAATACAGAAAGTGGCCCCGCAGATTCCCAAACATGTTCAGTCATAGTATGAAGATGCCCTGTGGAGTTTACTCGTAAACTAAGTTTCTGTTTCAATTCACAGTGTGAATCCTTGAGGCCCAGCACATGCATTTGTAAAGCCAATTTTGAAACGTGCATTGTTTACACCAATGGCTGGTAGTCCTCGTCTTCGCTTTCTTTGTTCTGATAGCACTGCATCTATTGGCATGTCACTGCTGTGTGTCACTGATGTTGATCAGTGGAACAGTGTGAAACCATTGGTGTGCATCATGCACGTGCATCTATCTATCTACACAAGAACAAACAGAACAGGGACTCACCCTTAGAAACATTGCTCCATAGCTCTGAAAGTGATCAACTCCACAGGTTAAGTCTTCAGATTGACAGCAGCTGTGTGTAACTTGATGTAACTTCCACATTTGGAATTTAAACTCGGCCTTCAGCAGACTGCAGCAGACATCGATACTCTTTGAGGGTAGAGTTCATTTCATTGATGTGAATAAAAGTGATCATTTTGATTTTTATGTGCTGCTGACCATGACAGGTTTACTGCATGTTTACCATCTCTGTTGACACACTCATGCTATTCATGAAGCCAAGTGGGAGATATCGGAGCCTACAGTCAAATTTGTTTTACATGGAAATTCCACCTTGAGGCCAATATCAATCTTTTCTCTCCCAGCTGGCAGCTTATATTCATGGTAACTTCTATAAGACGGTTGTGCAATGCACCAGAAACAACATTTATTTATCTCAGTATATAACTCTATTCATTCTAAGTTCTCTTTGAGAAGCCTCTACTCTGCTGTGGCTATATAAACCTTTCTCCACTTTCTTTGGGGAGTTTTAAATTTGAACTTTCAGCCGCTTATGTGACAAATCATTACTATTGTGTTTCATGGTGTAAAGAGTTCAGGTAATCCAACCAGGGTGGGAAAGCATTAACAGAACGTGAAGCTCATGCTGTTTGAAAATACAGACCTGAGACCCTGATATAAATCACATGCAACCTGTACAGTGTACAGGTTGCATGTGATTTATATCTGCACTTCTAACCACCACCAAGTCACTTTTTTAGCAATGCCTCAAATGAGCAGCCTGATGATAATCCACCGTTCTACGGTTCTTCCTACTCGCGCTGATGACGTTTGACGATAGATGACCAAAGTAAGAAAGGAGCGCTAATCAAAGTCAAACACTTACAGGACAATGTTTGTCTTTGACTGATGCTAAAGTGAAGCATTTTGAAGTAATCCTGCTAATGGCACATGGTCCCAAACTTACCTTCTCCCCTGCTTGTCCTTTTAAGCCCTGGGATCATCAGTCACAGCAGACACAGTCGCATGCAAAAAGGTGTGAAGGGAGGAGACACAAGAGAGAGAGGAACCAGTGTTAGAGATATGGAGAGGGTTCGGGGCATGCAGCATCCTCACTCAGGACAAGTGATGAGGAGGTGGTGAAAGAACTACGGCGAGCAGCTGTATGTGGAAGTTAAGTGGAAGCTAAAGGCCTCGGTGGGCTTCAAACAAAGTGCTGGTCGGATCACCTAATGGGTGTCTGACACGTCCTGTCTGATGGTGGAATCAGAGATCAAACATTGAAGATGTGAGATTCAGTGCATCATGCAGCGCTACCATTTGTCTCTGCTTCAGGTCTGTGCATTGAATCAGCCACATCACTGTAGCTTCTCTGAGAAAGGTAGTTTTTCTTCCTTATACAATCATCAAAAGGAACACTGGTACATTTGTTTTATGAGGCCATTTTACACAAACTGCCTCCTTATGTTCGCTACTGACTCCTACAGCTACAGAGACATTTAAAGTGGATTATTTTATAAGCATGCACGATGTTAAAAAGAGGATTAAGGACTATTTGACCACTGAATGTGTCCTGTCAGTGTTACTGAGTGACACTGCTAATTCTTTTTAATTATTTGTAATTGTTTGATGTAATTTGCTGTTTGTTATAAGTCTGTTAATTGTGCTTTTATGTGAAACTGTATTTGCTGCCGTCTTAGCCAGGACTCCCTCAAAAAGACATTTTGAATTTCATGGGACACTGGTAAAGTAAAGGTTTTATATAATATCTACAAAAAATAAACCATTAAACAGACGCCCACTTTATGCAGCTTCTTTTGAATATTCTTCAAGCAACTTTCCTTACTTATTGGGCTTACTTTTGAGGAGAGACTGTCCAAATATTGTCCCCAAATACAGGACTCATTATGATGATATTACAAAGACATACAAGAGAGACAGAGTTCTTGGCGAGACTTACAACCAAGTTCATTTAAAGCAACTGAGACTTAAAAGATTGCAGCACATAAGTGCAGCATCGGGATGGACCTTTCCAACAGACACCATGATAAATAGTATAGGTTCAACATTTCACTTCACTTCCTTTGAGAAGGGGCACGAAGGAAAGCGTGTGACTCCCATGTCATCTCACTATTACTGGCCTTTCATTTAAAATGAGATAAACATCTGCATTGTCTTAGCCAGGTGAGAGGCCTGTGAGCTATGCAGACCACAGTGTCATATGAGTAAAACATATAAATAATACCTATGTGTGATGGGGCTGAAACTGTTGTAAATATGGCATATCCAAAAGAAATATTCAAAACTAACCAAATGAATTGAGCGGTAACCCTGTAAATTAAGGCCGTCAACTGCACAGAAATTGTTGGTTGTGGTTACACTGCACAGCAACCTGGGTGGGCATCAGCACAAGCTGTCTTAAATAGCACACAGTGACATCTAGTGCCTGAAGAATATATTATAGAGGATACAACTGACAAGGCCCTGTAAGGCCCTAAAGACACATTTAGGGGTTTGTGTTACTCTGTGCATATGAGAATATGGCAGTATCACAATGCATTTTCTAAAATAGGATTGTATGCATTCCTATATTGTATTACAGTAAGGGTAATGATACAGCACTTTCTGGGAATGATATCGTTCTGCTTTTCCAAGCTTTGTGTGAGGGGAGGCTGAGTCTGTGAAAACCTCTGCACTATAGAGTTCAACTATTCCAGAGGTTTTCTCCCAGCTGACGCTGAGATTTTTACTGGATCAATGTTACATTCGGGGATTCTGGGCATCGATAGTTGCTGTAGGAAAATGAGCAAATATAAGTTGAAACAAGCATTATTATTGATCGTAATGTTAATTATTATTTATTTTGATTAATGTTAATTCCTGACATCACAATTAATGAGGCCAAGGAAATGTGGGACACATTAAACTAACAGTACCTGAGTATCTGTAGTAGTGGCAATGGTTCTTTTCAGTATTTCATTCTTGTATAGTAATACCACAGATGACTAATTATAATTTACCAGTGTTCATTTCTGATTATACGTTATCAGTAATACCATGCTCACCTAAAGCTGACCAATGGGAAACTCTCAACAATTACAATGCTACACTTTTAAAACGCATACAATAAACAATGCAGTTAAGGTCCCTGAACACCCCACAGGTGTTTTCAGTTATCTGGGTTGGTTAATGCTGCTCAGTTTGAAGGTGGGCTTTACTATGCTGGGGTGTGTATGAGGTCAGAGGATTCCTTCAACTAATTAGAATGATAAAGGTAAAATTTGTTCCACCCTAACAGGTAAAGGGGATGTCAATCAAACAGTCTGTGTACACACCCACTCACACCTGAGAAGAGCCCTGATCAGCCAACATAAGTGACCCTACTGGTGTGGACTAAGGCTGGGTATCGGTTCTTCTGGACCAAACAAACCTAGTGCCATCGTAGCATCGAAACTTCTCCAGTCAAACGATACCAGCATTGGACCCTTCTATATAGCATATCAACGTAAGCACTCATGGATTTATTTGTGATAGCTAAAACCAATTCAGTCAGCATGCTATATTTGATGGAGTTGGTAGTTCTACGTGTCAAGATGCCACCAAAACATTCAAAAGTATGGCTCTACTACGCGCCTGTGGCATCTGGTGGTATTACCATTCACATGATGGGCATCATAGGATGTATAGAAATAAAAGGGTATCATCAAATGAATATTTGTATGACTTTAAGGGGAGTAGTAGTGCTAATGGTATTGTTTTAAACGATACCCAGCCCTATTGTGGGTAGAACGCAGATCTACTGCGTTGCTTAGAACTGATATGTTGCTTATGTCATAATAAATGTAACCATTACAATAGCGCACTTGGTCCACAAGCGCAAGTCACTCACCATTCTCCCACGAATCCCCATGTTTCCTTTGTCTCCCTATTGACCAACGCACAGTCAGAAGAAACAAGGGTCAATAAGGTTAGACTGAAGTGAGCTCCTAAAGGGATACCTTGACATATATACTTTACTTATTCTCACTACATAAATCTAATCTCATCTGATTAAATGGAATCTAATTTAAATAGCTTCCATAAGAAAAGCAGATACTATAGATCCCTAACATTGTTAGAATAACATTTCTGGGTGTTACTAGTGGGAAAGACATGCTAACATGGGTTAATGAAAGTCCTAATGCCATGGTATCCATTAAGGGCTTGACTCATTGGTGATGACAGGCCTCAGTCAGTGAAACATGCCATGCCTTACTCTGACACTACAGACACACATTCCATGATACTGTGATGCTGTGAAGAAGAAACAAAACCATTGTGCTGCATTCATGCATCCCAATGACAGATTGAGTTTAAGGCCCTGCTCCATAGCTTTATAAAGACTCACACCATAGATAAACATAAACAGGATGATGAGGGTCAGGCTGGTGCCATACATTGTTTGTAGCTATACCTACAAAAAGTAATGCAGTATAATTGGTATATAACCCACATAATCTTGAACCAGCACAGATGATGTAGTGTAGAGAGTGATAAGGTCAGCACAGGGAGGTTAGGACGGATGGGTGCGTCTGAAACACAGGACTCTCACACAGGACGCCACGTTTGTCACGTATCTTCCGTACTTAACGCCATTTCCATAGTTGTTTTAACCCAAACTATTATCTTTTCCTAACGTAACCAAGTAGTCCACAGTGCATTGCTGAGAAGAGTGTCAACATACTTTTGACAGCATTTGGAGACAGCCACTTGATAATAATCTCACAACATACATTATGGACATCTCCCACAACTTTCCTTTTTCGAGATTTTTTTGGAGATCAACTTTATCATACATATTCACAGCTCAATTTCCTGGAATGAAAGCCAATGCAAACACAGAAATCTTCTTTTGTACCACGATAGCAATTTTCTTACAGTTTCTTTGATAAACCCGGTCGTCAGAAAAAAATGTTGGCATTGTATGTTTCTGGAAACACGAGATTTTGTATATCGTCATTTCTAAATAACAAATAAGTTTCATTAATATGTCTCATATCAGCCTACTATCACACATAATGACACGACGTAGTGAAACAATGACCATCTTTCACACTCTACAGACGTGTTTTTAAGAAAGATTTGTTCTGGTTTAGCGACAGCGGAGGTTTCCTTACTTTGCTGTTTAAACAACACATGTATCAACCACTAAGGGCAGCAAACACCCGGAGAGGCTGCTCTAACAGAACAACAACTAGTGCATCAGCTTACAGACAGTTTAGAGCCATATGTTGAAACACCATAACACCACTGCACTACAGTACAGTGGCATGCTTTCCTGTGGTGCTCAGCTCTTACTGACTATTGTCTGTCTTTGCTCAGATGTCACCACTCAGTGTTGAAGGCAGTGCAAATGGCTGCAAAATACATGGCCTCAAGAAACTAATTAACTCAACAGTAGCTGACGAGAGTCATCCACATCCACAGCAGCATGGTTTTGTAACTGTATGGTGAATTCAGCAGCTAATATTTGATCAGAAACCTATTTTTAGTTGAGGAAGTATTTGATATTACCTCCTGGAAAGCCTGTTTAAAGCAAAGACCGACCTGTGAGTGCTGCATCTGTCCAATCAGATGTTAGAACGGTTCATGTTGATGTCTTAGTAAAATATGAACTGTCAATCTTCTACCCAAACAACACATTGTCACAAAAAACATATAGTTTCTGCTCATTACAAGCATAGAGTCTCTTTTCAAAATAAACCTCCAACGTACAAGATTGTGGTTGTTGCTAAAATAAGCACATTTGTTATTTAACTTGCATTTGTAGTACGGAAGTTAAACTTGGTTCTACAGCAGTCTACTGGGTTAAAGTCCTGTTTGTTTGACCCGTCCAACCTCCCTGAGCCTGGACATAGATTCAACTGTTTTCGGTACTGAAATATCAGATGTGCTGGTATCTCTGTCATTAGTATGTGGTATATTCTTTAAGCCTTTAACTACTATTAGGCTTCATCTGGGCTCTTTGAAGTTCTGTCCAAGTTTGTGATTTAAATCAAGGCTTTGGAATAAATCTGGGGGGGCTTTACAAAGCGCCTAACGTGATTATTTGCTGTGACCACAAAATACAACCTTCTCTAAAGTCGGTTTTATAGCCATGAGACGAATAGAGTGGACTGTGGTGCAACACATGAGCTGAATGAGGTTTTAGAGATTGCTCCTGCACCGATGCTGTCCGTTCCAAAACATGGTTTCTTGCCAGAAAATGTAGGCGTTTTTTTACTGTACTGACAAACACACACACACACACACACACACACACACACACACACACACACACACGAGGCCTTGCGCTGACAAAAACACTGCTATGAAAATGATTTATGCAGGTCCTTAGCAGGGCAATGTTAAGGTGTCTGAGGCATATTTACAGTCTTAATGGGCCTCAGCTGGACCTTGACTCAGGCCAACCACACACACACACACACACACACACACACACACACACACACACACACACAACTGAGCGCAGTCACACCAGCCTCTACTCGCCACCAGTAGAAGTACTGCCTGTGGAAAAGACACCCATGAGATCACATTTGTCTTGATATAGTTTTACAATGGATCAGATGAAGGCAGGTATCCAACCCGGTCTCACTCCCAATTCCACCAGGCTTTCAACTGACTCCAATAGAAACCCATCCACGTCATTATGAGACGCTTAGAGCAACCGAGAGTCCTTTTTAGAGTGGGCGGGATGGGTGGTGGACGGGTCAAACAAACACAAGACGTTCACTCAGGGGACCGCTCTACGTGTCAAAATAAAAAGCCAGTGTTGACTGATTTTGTCACGTGACTCGTAAGTCATTCGTTCGTCACGTGAGTCGTTAGTCAGTGAGATTAACGTCAATTACTACCTAAATCTAACTTCTTGTGAAGAGGGAAGTTTGTTTTGAAAAGACACTTTTGGTGTAACGAGATGAAACTGACACACTGTCCCTGACACATCCAGAACTGGAGCTAGAGGGGAACCTAGCTTGTCATAGCTTGAAGCTCAGGGCCACTGAACAAGCGTCGGTATTGGAAGAGCTTGGACTGAGAATATGTTAGGATATCTGATGTTAACTTCTATCAATTATGAGAGAATTATTTATTATCTGAGTTAGTAGGAATTGTACGAATGCTATAATTCTGAATGGGACGGAAGACAATGTGTTTGGGATCCATCATTATATCAGTGGGGTCTACCTTCTTTGGTTATAAAGACCTATACTTTCACATTCTGAAATAACCACATTCCACTAAAAACGCTGCTCCCTCATTTTCAATTCTTACAGGCCGTCTTTCCAGAAACCACATCTTCCCACCCTTATTTAGATTAAGGCTGCTGGTGATTTCATTTCCCGCTGCTAGACGTGTGTAATCAATCACAAATCCAAGAAGGAATCTCACCCTAGCTTTGACACAAACTCTGCGAAACTCAGGCAAAGAAACACTGGACGGGTCTCTGCTTGAGACGGTTTTATGGACCTGTTTCACAAGTGTGTTTGTCAGAACCTAATGGGGGATTGGTGGTTGGAACTGGCTTCCAAGGACAAAGGTCAGATACTAGATGGCCACCTGCTGTCATGATGGGAACCATGTGGGTATGACATATTGAGAGCGCTGGTTTCGCAGAAAGAGGAGAGCGTTAGACTGAAGAGAAAGGAGGCAAAGACAAAACACAAGCAGATTTGGTCAGGGAGATTGTATTAGGATTAGATTCAAGCTGTAGCAGAATTTGAATTAAAACAACCAAGAGGCCGTGACACGATCCAGCCAACAGCTCTTGATGTTATCAATGGTCAGTGTTAAGGTTTTACAGCTATAAGCACTCAGTTCCACTGCTGTACTGACATCTCTGAGCTTCTGAACTGAGAAGTGATCATAGAAATACTATAGAATCAAACTGTTTGACTAATTTTACTTCTCTGTTCTATAACAAGCCTTTGATTGAAGGTTCAAATTCAATGCAACCCTGTTTCCTGAAAAACACATTCATACTCACATCATTTGCAAAACATAATCTTGCCAAGATTATCTGCATATGTGGAAACATTTATTGAACAAATCTCTATATGATCAGCTATTGTAGTGCCTGTGAACATTCGATGAATCACTTTTGAACATTTAACCAAAAGCTGTTATCTTTTCTTAACTACCAGGAGTTTCAGCAGACTGTACCTGAGGTGCTCTGTGGGACCAATATCCCCTTCTTTAAAGCCAGACGATGTCACTTTGTTCCACAAGTGGCAATTACAAGATAATGGTGCATGTGCATCTTGAGTCAGTTGCTTTAAAGACAGTGACAGACAACTTCCCCACTCTCTACTTTGTTATGTGCTTATTTGATTTGATTAAACACACATTTTGATTTGGTAATCCAGTTTTGGGGCCCACTAATCCAGACTATGTATTATATGTTGTGTTGTGAACGGTTGTGGGGTGTACTTTCACTTACAGCTAAACTGCAGAGTCAATTATGTTCTCCCAGATAACGTTTGTTTTTGACTAACCATGAATATTTTACTCATCATAGTCTGTGGAAGTCTGCAAAGGGAGGATGTCGGGCTTTTATCCAAAGCGACTTACAATAAGTGTATTCATCATCGGTATTCAAGAGAACTACTCATCACCAGAAGTCATAAGTGCGTCTCCTTTAAACAAGCTTCTAAGAGCATAAACCAGAGCAAACGTACCAGTTACGTGACAAACTAGTTCTTTTAACCCAAACTAAAAATGTTTTCTTTACTAAATCTAACCAAGTAGTACAAGTTAGAATCAAAACTTTCATCTGTAAAGTAGAGTTTGTGTTATTTCCTCTTTCAAAAGGTGCCTAAATAGCCTACGTTTAAGCAATGCATCAAATATGTTTCCTCCAAAACAAATCCAGCAAAGGACATTAGCAGGATACAGATGAAATTGTTTAAGGAGGTTTGTACGTTGAATTAAAAAAAAAGTGTCTTGGAGCCAGCTATCATCTGATAATAACCGCTGATATATTTCATTTAACTAAATCTATGATCATTAAAACTCATTAGAAAATCCAAACAAAAACAACAGCTTCTCAGTAGAGAGCAGGTGAGAGATCATTACTGCAGTGAAGACTAATTACTCATGCAAATACTGTATATTCAGCCACACACAGACACAAGTTCAAAAACCAGTTACCGGAAAGCCTGCTCGTCCAGGAGGACCCTGAGAGAAGGGTGAGAGAAAGTTGGTACAAAAAGGAAAGAGTGAATTTACAGATTAAGTCCACATCATGAAATATGGCTGCACTGATCCAGACCAGAATGAAATGAACTGGAGAGGTAGTTACTTTCTTATATGAACAGATTTTATTTTGGCCTTTTCAGCTCAGTGACAGCACAGAGACAGAACACTGCTGCTGCAGTAACATCGCCTCTTTAATCTCAACAGGCACTCATTGAATCATGTTTGAACACAACACAAACATGTTCTGAACATGAAAGATTGGTTTTGGGAGAAAGCATGCATGTTTCAGCGTAACAAACCATTCAAACCTCCTAACTGACCTCAGCCTACTGAAGTAGCCTGCTAATGCTGATGTGACAACACGTCAGCATGGTGGCTTCCATCAAAAACAAATCACAAAGATCTAGAATACAATGGCTTTCAGTTATGGCCAGGTTGAAGGAACAAGAAGGAGCACATTGACAAAAGTCAAGTGTGTTTTGTTTTCATTGAGCAAGAGGAACACAAATGCTTCTTCTGTGAGCAGCTCTTGAGAAAAGGATGGAATGCTAATTGGTTGGAAGTCAAAACAGGAACTCTTGACTTTTTCCAAAAAGCTGATGACGCTTTGCTGAGGAATAAAATGCTCTGGAATGCTGGCATCGATTGAGATGGAGAGAGAGACAGACACCGACTGAAACATTGAAAGAGACAGACACAGAGACAGAGAGAGACAGACACCGACTGAAACATTGAAAGAGACAGACACAGAGACAGAGAGAGACAGACACCGACTGAAACATAGTGAGAAACAGATAAAGACAGAGACAGAGAGAGAGAGAGAGAGACATTGACTGAAACATAGTGAGAGACAGAGACAGAGAGAGACAGACACCGACTGAAACATAGTGAGAAACAGAGAGAGACATAGACTGACACATAGAGAGAGAGAGAGAAAGAGAGAGCAGATAAAGACAAAAATTCAGAGGTGCACGACAAAGCGCCTCATCCGCTTGCAGACCCTTTGTAGGCCGTGGTTACATCATTTTGTTGTGCAGCCTCACTACGACAAGTATAAACTAAGCTTGAGAGAGGGACTGAGAGAGACAGACTGAGACAGAGAAACACACAGAGAGACTTTGCTACATACAAGTCATTGTGCTATCGCTTTGATGTCTCCAGAGCCCGAGACATAAGCAAACTAAGTGGCTGCTGGGGTCCCCAATATACCGCCCAGGTTCTATGCTAAGTTTGTCAGCAGAGGAGATGCTGGATCATCAGTACAAGCGGAGGCTGAGTTGATCCACATACAGCAGAGCCAAACGCTCAGCTTTACATTTTTTTTATTAATTGTTAATGCTAGAATTCACTCTATCTTTTCAATAAATGTTTGTATATATCTCATTCTGTTATGTACTGTATATGTTTACCTATTTTTAGACCGACGGATGGAGCAAACAGTTTTAAAAGAGGGAGGATTGTAGTGAGGGTGCTGAGGAGTCAGGTGGGCAAATGGTTTACATGGCTCACGGGTCAGGTAGGAGGGCCCCTTGGCAGAATTTAGCTAAGGGCCCCACATAGGTCAGGGCCGGATCTGCATGTCACTGTGTTGTGGATGGATAATAGAGAAACTGTAGTAGTTCACATACAAAAGCAGTTAAGTGTTATACAAATTGCGGATAGTATATAAGAAACCAATGTACTTAACAGCCAATCCCTTTGCACTCAGTATTAGACCCAATTTAGTGACCGGTAGGGTCAGTCGGGAAGAAAAACTGCACAGTGTTGGTGCATTATTGATTTATGAACCAAAACCACACGTTTTCACGGTCTTGTTTTTTTACTCTGCTCTCATCCACGTGATAGAAATGTACTTGCACTTCCGTGTTTAAGGTTCTGGGTCAGTGTGACTGCTGCTTAGCTAGTCTACTAAAGCAGGCTGGCAGTCAGATGGCAGTGCATGAAGCTGTGTAGCCAGGTGCTTAGTGTGAACAGGCTGTATGGAAGTGCCTGCCCGTTAGCTACTGGGTCTCCACGGGCCGACAAAGGTCACCCACTGCCGGAAGGAACCCTTCACTTGAATTACACAGTAACCCTCCAACATGTGGCTCCCATTTGGCAAAGTGCTGCTGAATGAATGGGAAGGCGTGGAGGGGGTGGTGGGAGGGGGTTTATTTGGCCGGGGTTTGTGGGATGTATGGTCCCCTGGGTACTCCTCTGTTCAATAAGAAGTGAGTTGGGATGTATAATACCATTCTCATTGGTATTATTTTACTCAGAAACTGACTTGTTGTTGGTGTCACCCTCCAACTGTGAAAAATCATTTGTTCTTTTCATTTTCAATTGGGAATCCACAACTGTAAAATGCAAAAAAAAACAATTTGTCATTCGTGAATCCAACACAAAAAAAGTAATGACTTCAATTTCATGCTCATGTCAAAAATAGCCATGGACTTTGTTTGCCACAGTTAGTTTTCTGCAATAATCTAACATCTAATGGAAACATTCCATTAGCTCTTTGTGGAGGGAACCAGTGCGATGCTAACGTCTGGGTTGGCCGACAGAAATACACCATCCCTGCAGCACTCTCCTGTAAAAGCTAAAGCAGGATCACAACCTTTATGCTTCTTTAGCCTTATCAAGGTGTAGGAGTTTGGCATACTGTATCTCAAGCAAGATGTAAGAGACCATGTGGAACGTCTTAGAGTTTGAAATGCTCAGATCCCGTGGGGATGGAAGTGTAGTGAGAATGGAAAATCTGTCTCGCTGTCTGACCTCATGGACCTTGAAACTTCTACAGTAGTAGCTATCCCTCACATTTTCAATGGAGGGATAGAATGGCAGAGGTGAATTTGAAACTGACAAGCTGTACAAAAGTCAAACTCATAGTGGCCAGATGTTTGGAAACTTTGTGCCATGGAGGCACAGGAGTCAGGAGGTTTTCTTTTCAACCAAAAGCTGGATTTCAGTTGTAAGATGTGATCCACTTATCCTGTGCGTGCAGAGTTGCATGGGCTGAAGCCTATTCCAGCACTCAGTGGGCGAGAGGCAGACAGGTCACTCTGTCACACGACTGGCCGACGATTCACAGTCAGGTTCACACATCCAGGCACTCATTTAGAAGAATAGCCACAGAGACACAGAGGGGACAATTACACCCCACACAGAAAAAACCCAGCTGGCCAGAACCTTCTTGCCCTGAAGGTTACAGCGCTAACCACTGCAAGCCACCACTTACTGAATACCATCAGAGGCCAGGTACTTTAAACGTTAATTCACACAGTGAATATATGATCAACTGGGAGAGTCCGCGCTGTGTGGACAATTTGAAACATACAGTAGTTGAGATAATAAAGATATACAAAACAAAACA